TCACACACAGTTTACTTAACTATAACAGTTACGAATATTGTATTGAAATGGGGCTTGGCGTGGTTGGGAATGAGGAGCAGATTGAGGGGATCCGTGGATGTTTTTGATCAGAGTAGCTAGACAGGTTCAGACTCGTGCTGATCGGCGGTGCGGATAGAACTAGACAGGACTGGGTGTCGCATCATCGTCCATCTTCATTTGAACACATTGCTCTATTGCAATAGTTATAACTTAGCAGTTCTTCCCTAGTTGCAAACAGAATAAAACGTACATTAGTATCATTTAATAATATACGTAATAAAATAATAAGACAACGCTTTTTATAAAAACAGTCAAAAACTAACAATAAAATACATCTCGGCTAATTGCGCCAGCTCTCAGGCCAACAATAGCACAGAAATAGGTATGCGGGCCATCGATATGTTATTAATACATCGATTGGAATCGATATGTTATCGATTAAAATCTACGGGCATTATGTATGATTGTGTAGTACAATAAGACAAATCGCTTAGCAAATTTCATAGTTTATTCCGTTAGCATTATAAGGCAACTTCAATGTACATGTGGGACTATTGATCTTAATAAAGAAAGACCAAATGAAAAAGTCTGCTATGGGCTCGGAGATAAACAAAAGGACATAGCATTATATTCTTTTTTTTTATTGCTAAGATGGGTGGACGAGCTCACAGCCCACCTGGTGTTAAGTGGTTACTGGAGCCCATAGACATCTACAACGTAAATACGCGCCACCCACCTTGAGATATAAGTTCTAAGGTCTCAAGTATAGTTACATATATTTAACTAAATAACTTCTCACAAGGAAGCTGGGCACACGTCTATACAAATTGATGTCCAAATATTGACGTCACACCTCTAAGGTAAGGACGTAAGCACAGCATAGTTGAGGCTGGTGTATCTTCCCACGACCCCAATAAAGGTAAGTGCCCACATCTGGCGAACACCGGTATCGCTCAGGTAACTTAATAGCTAAAACGCCCCTCGCTTTTACTGTTACCTTGTAAATAATGTTATTTTTTTAAATTCTACTTCGCTTTTAGACTAAAGCGTTGACGGTGACACAGATGGACATCCCGGTACCATTTAAAGATTTTCCAACTATTCGCGAATGTACTGTGTCTACCATGAATCAACACGGTGTTTATAATTAATATTAAGTATAAGGAGCGAGATATACAGACCAGAGATGGACTGCTAAAGTTACATCTTGGAGCGACCCAGCGGGCAAGAGAAGTCGAGAGAGACCACTAACCAGATGAGAAGACGACCTCAGATGAACAGCTGGCCCAAACTGGATAGACGTAGCACAGGATAGAGACGCTTGGGCATCTTAGAAGGAGGCCTTTACTCAATCCGGGGTTCTTGCTAAAAAATTTTACTGTTTCATTACAAAACTCTCTTTTGCATCCTAAATACTAATACGTACATTTATATTTATTATCTTTTTAAAACTTTGTAAAAGCAAGAAATAAATGGCTTGTTATTATTATTATTATTATTATGATAAGTAGTAAATATATAAACATAATTTGCGGTGTATGTAGCTTCCGTCGACCGTTGCAGGCGAGTCGCGAGCTCCACGCCAAGACAAAAAGAATACCGTGCTAGGTAGTCGGTTAAGAATAATAGAGGACCACACGTAGGACCCCACACGGCCGCGCATGTGGTGCACGTGACGCTCACACCTACGCACGCCAAGCTTCAACATGCTCTACGCACATACCTACTGTATTATGGCTATTAGTAATATCTGTACGTACTATTTGCAGTTTCCTACAGGCGTACGAATAGAAGTGATTAAGTTATTTGAACGACTTGATTGCACTCGGTATTGTACACACGAAGCGTCAGTTACAGATCAGTTACCTTTTTTTTATTGCTTAAATGGGTGGACGAGCTCACAGCCCACCTGGTGTTGAGTGGTTACTGGAGACCATAGACATCTACGACGTAAATGCGGCACCCACCTTGAGATATAAGTTCTAAGGTCTCAAGTGTAGTTACAACGGCTGCTCCACCCTTCAAACCGCATTACTGCTTCACGGCAGAAATAGGCAGAGTAGTGGTACCTACCCGTGCGGACTCGCAAGAGGTCCTACCACCAGTGTGAACTACCGTCAGTCTACTTTCCACTCGGACATACCATTTGCTGTTTAGATCGCTCAATGTAATTTTGTTTTCTAATTATGTTTATAATCTATCTGTTTCTATCTATTTACTGTGACAAACAAACAGTAAGTGGACCTACTGTTTTTACTTTAGTAGTTGATGTATATTTAACCATTATTATGACGAAAGCCAGAGATAGTATTCTAGCCTCTTTTTACAACAAACAACAGACAAACATCGTCAGCTTTTACTGGATTCATGCTCGAATAGTATATTTATGGAGACACAGTTTGCTCAATCAGTGCAGATACCTGCCGCTGTAATTTTTATTCCTGCGGCCCTGTTGTCGTTTGTTCCCCGAAAAGAGTAGACATTGCATTGGAATATTAGAGTAAAACACAGTAAGATATAAGTAGACAAAAAGAGGTAACAGGTGATATTTGGAAAGTTGTAGAATCTCGACATGAGCCGGTCTCTGTTTCTGCTAGTTAACACCTGGATAGAACAAGATTTTTAGATGTATCGTCCGTATATAGAGGAGCACTTTATACCTTCTACAACTTCGAGCTTTATGTAGCGAGTGAAGCGGTAGTAACAGCAGCTTTCGATTGCTTAGGGCATAGCGCAAGTGTTTCGCCAATGTACAAAGGAATACGAGGATAAATACTTCTCGTGCTACCACCCCGCACAGATGCAAAATATATTTCTCAAACGACAAAAATATCATTAAAAAAAATTCTCCGCCAAAATGAATGAAACTAATTACCGATTGTCGAATGAGAAGCATCGTCAATACCACCATATTTCATTAGAACAATGTCATTGTGTAGGTGCACCTAGAATGCACGTGTCGATGTTGTGTAATAAAACAATAGTATCGGTACACGTGTAGTGCACGTGTTGTACGACACTCAGCGGCCATAGAGAATGCCGTATTGTTTTTTTAGGTTCTTTTAGGGGACTTCGTCTAAGCAGCATCTTTAACTAATTTTGAATTTTATAAAGAGAGGTAGGCTAGCAGATAGACGGGCAATATAGAGGGCAAGCGTTCCAGAGGACGCAGTCCTACGAGATGGTCGGACCAAATTCGGTCTTGTCTGGACATGAAGCTCCACGAGGCCAAGGATCGCAGCACATAGAAAACAATCGTATAAGTGAGATTGATGCAGCGTGGGAGTCACGACTTTCAGTAATGAGGAGGACGACGCGGGGGAGGGTAGCAGAATATCAATATGCTACGGGAACTCGTGGGCACAAGCCATGTTACTTCCACGAGTATAAGACTAACCTAAGTACTATAATTTCTCAAGGTGGCTCCACCCGTCTTGAGACAGGAGTTTGAAGTCTCAATTGTATTGTGTAGTAGTTACTTCACGACAGATAAGCATGGTATATTGGTACCTACCTATCAGCAGTAAATGTCGGTTGGCGATCGCAGTGTGGTGCTCTTTCTCCAGTATATCCCTTTAACGACACCGTCGGGATGAGATGGAGCGGTGCTGATCCCACAACCAAGCCAGCCCAGCGCTCTTTAGTGGTTTGGTGTTCAAGTTTATTTTTTTATCTGCCGTGAAGCAGTAATGCGTTTCGGTTTGAAGGGTGGGGCAGCCGTTGTAACTATACTGAGATCTTAGAACTTATATCTCAAGGTGGGTGGCGCATTTACGTTGTAGATGTTTATGGGCTCCAGTAACCACTTAACACCAGGTGGTCGGTGAGCTCGTTCACCCATCTAAGCAACAAAAAAAATTTCGGGAATGTCGCCAGTACACTTACCTCTACTAACCTTTATTCAAATTGGTAATGTAACACAAGTTTCAGACCACAATTTTCCTGTACTCACTTTATAATAATACGCATATACTTTTTAAGCACATTGTAAAATAGTAATTAGTTGAAGAAAGGTAATAATAATTACCGTCGAATGAACAAGTAAACAAATTACTAATTTGTTTATTATTTTAAGTTGTTTACTTTTCTCAATTGTGTTTATAAATTGTAGGCATTAACTCACCTAATTCTGTTTATCTTTAATCTGTAGCTGCTTTCCAAAGTTTGCGTCGTGAAGTAGTTGTCCGTTGCCTCTTAAGCGGTAGGATAGCCGTCAGTTTAATATAAATTAAGACTTCAGCGGATCTCTTCTTTCAACATACAACAACAAACGCATACATTTAACATCGGAAGAGCCGTTTGCTCAGTTGAAATACTATGCTATTTTTGTATTTCGTAACGACTCCGTTTCATTATTACAAGTCCTTTATTGGCTGGCTTCATGAAGCTAACTCCATCTAGCGACCGAAAGCAAAACTAAAATTTACGTTCAAATTAATATTTTTATTCAGTATGTGATAATATATGGGATTTAGTATATAATTTAAGAGTTGGTTTAAAAAAGTAAGCAATGTGTAAAATTTCTTCGTACTGATTTTTTTTTAAATTATTTAGTCCCAATTTTAATTTGTCAAAAGGCACTATGATAATGATTTATATCTAGGCAAGGTGTAATATTTCTTATTTTTGTTTTTATTTCAATATTACAATGGTATTTGAAGTCCTGAGATAAAATATTCCTAAACAACAATAAGATTAGAAGCAAGATAGAGACAGGTAGAGTTATAAGAAGGTGGAGCTTGCATTCCTCGTATAAACAAATCGAAGGTGTTTTGTAGCTCGTCTGCGGTTACAAATGAAGTGCATGGCCATTATCGCGAAGGTGTTATAATATGGCAGCGAGCGGTAGGGCGATGAGCGGCGGCAGTCGGGCGCAGTAATTAAGCCGCGGAGGGGGGCGGGGGCGCGGGACAGGGCGGGGCGAGAGGCGGCGACACTCCGCCGTGCGTCGCGCACCACACTGCACGTCCGACCGCGCGCGGGCCATGGTCGCGAGAACCGATGAGAGCATGTTTGGCTGCTATGGTGACAGCTACTCGTACCGCCTGTGGAGCCTGGCCAACGTGTGGGGCGCCTGCCGATGTGAGTAGTGCCTCGACGGCGGCCCGTCCCCGAACTTTCACCGCTGACGTCAGCGGAGGCTGTGATTCTCGGTTTAGTACGACGTAATTGCGATTGATAGTCCGCGAGTTGTGCGACGCGATATCGGAATCTGATAGTAGCCGGTGGTCTCGTTCAGTGAGGTGTGAGAACGGTGTCGCTCGATGAAAGTGCAGAGCGCGCTTATGGGAGTTGGCGGTTGGTACGAACGTTCGGCAGCCGCTTGGCTTGCGGACATGAGGAGTAAGCAAGTCCCGACGTCCACCACCTCGGCCAGGCGGCTTGCGGCCTTAAGTAAGCTTCGTTTCCTTTTGTTTTAATTTGCATTATCTATCTTCTACCAGTATTATTAACATCTTACTTTTCTTTCCTTTTAATTTATATTTCATTTTTAATTTCCTTCCAAAGTTTCATGTGAAACTTAATTTTAAAGTTACTCAGAAATTTAGTGAAAATAAAACGAGTAATAATTTCCCTAGCCCGCTCGTGTAACAGATAAAACTTACAACTTGAATTTCCCAAGTTCACCCCGATTAATCGAAACAGGTGAAAAAATATAACTTGGATGACATTAAAAATAATATTAGAACAGGTCTTCACGTTTCTAATGAACGGTCGGACGACCTGTCCCCCGTCTCCCCCGGGATATAATTCATCCACTTGAGAATCGGGAACAGGTACAAACAGACTTGAAAGAAAGTTTCGTTTGTCGAGGGGAACCCGCTCGCTTTCACCGTCTTAAATCGTAAATGATTATGTTGTTTTAATTCATTTGCTTTTTATTCTTTTACCTACTTTTTATTTTATTCTTCCTCTTTGAGCGCCGCCTGTCTGAGTGGATGTAATAGGGACGTTTGATGCGTTCAGTCGTTTTTACAATGCGCTTAGAACGAGTCGGAACGCGGACGAATAAATTAGTTGAAAGTTGCGTTTTATCGCTAATTCGGGACGATCAAACGATATGTCGTGACGTTTGTGTTTAACGATAAACTATACAATAAACTTCGTATGTATCAAAGATGAACAACGGACGGACGCAAATATTTACAAAATAATAAAAACTACTTAAAACGTGCAGATCGTCAAACGTCTAAAAATAATAATAATGAACTTCAATATAATTAACAAAAAAACATACTTAAACAAGGAAAACCCTAAGTAATGGAATCTTATCGAGAATGGAAACCGGGCAAACTAGCTGTGTGTACCTAGAACAGATAAAATGAAGCGATGCCTACCTATTGGCACTCTAATTACTTGTTTGTTTTACAAGTAACGATCTGTGAGCATCTCATTAAATGTTTGTCAAGCATTTAGATCTGTAAGCTTTGTGATTTAAGGCATGATTCATCGAATGAGTCATTAACTGATTTTTGTTTATTGCATTTTCACCTCTTGACTTCTCCAGTCTGAATCATTGGAGGTGTAACAGACAGTCAAGCTTATTTATAGGCTTATTAGCTAAAGGTAAAATCGCGTGAATGTGTTGTGCGGTATCCACCTAAGGTACAAGACTAATGAAGTGAAAATTTTTAACTTAATCGGTAATTTTGTTCTTTTAATCGATTTTAATAAATGCAAATTTAATAAAACAACCGAAACCAAAAAAATCTATTTCCAAACGAAAATAGCCTCTTCTCCGCTCTGGAATTCGATAGCAAAAAGACAGGTTTTTTCAAAAAAGGGCCAGGTTTACATAAACATTGAATTTTTTAAACGCTAGACCAGCAGGCGATCTCGTTGTTCGATCTAGGCAACACAACAACCAATAATATTTCGCAGAAAAACTTTTTTTTTTATTGCCCTTGTAGGCAGATGAGCATACGGCCCACCTGATGGTGAGTGGTTACCGTCGTCCATGGACTTCAGCAATGCCAGGCTGCCATCAAATGGCTTATAATATTGAAACTAAAATGTTTTTATTGTTAATTGCGTAATTGATTCACCCGCGGTAGAGCGACCTATGAGCCTCATCGTGCTCTAGCAGCGACCGTAAGACAGGATAGCTGTTAGTTGTTCCTTGTTCTAGTATATATAAATAAGTAGCTGAGTTTACTGGTGGTAGGACCTCTCGTGAGTCCGCACGGGTAGGTACCACCGCCCCGCCTAATTCAGCAGTAATGCGTTTCGGTTTGAAGGGTGGGGCAGCCGTTGTAACTATACTGAGACCTTAGATCTATATCTCAAGGTGTGTGGCGCATTTACGTTGTAGATGTCTATGGGCTCCAGGAACCACTTAACACCAGGTGGGCTGTGAGCTCGTCCACACATCTAAGCAATAAAAAATAAAAAAAACTTTGTGAGTCTCTCTGCCTTTGGGACGTCTGCATTTTTACGTCAGTAAAGAAAATTCTATTTCACACCGATATGAGCTTCGTTAACTGGCTGGTAAACCGATGGGCCGTGAGTCTGTCTTCAAGTCTTAGCTGCACCGTGTTCTTAAACAGATCTTAGAATGTTTTTACGAATAAAATTTTATAGGAATAGTGACGCATCTCGATTTATTCAAAACAGCTTTATGAAGAGCAGTTTTGTGTTTTGCGGGTTTTCTAGTGTTCTAGTGTTTACTCTTTAAACAATCTTGATACTTCACAGAGATGAAATTCGCCTTGCGGTATCAGAAGGAAAATAGGATGGTTGCGAAACATTTGCGAATTTTCAAATTGATTAGTAGCAGACGTGCCATGTCGGCGGTGGAGCGAGGTATGTGGTACCCATGGACATCAAAGCCTACTGCGCCTGATATCCTGGCAACCACCGTAAGGTTCGCAGCTCTCCTTTTAATTTCAATTCCTGCCCGACAATGATGTGGTGCCGCGCGGAGCTCATAGAATAGAACTGCTGGCGTTAAGCCCCTCTCAAGGCAAGATTAATTCGAAGACTGTGTGTGTTTAAAGGACAAAAGGTCAAGTTTCCGAAAGATGCTTACTGGTGGTAGGACCTCTTGTGAGTCCGCGTGAATAGGTACCACCACCCTGCCTATTTCTGCCGTGAAGCAGTAATGTGTTTCGGTTTGAAGGGTGGGGCGGGGCAGCCGTTGTAACTATACTGAGACCTTAGAACTTATATCTCAAGGTGGGTGGCGCATTTATATTACGTTGTAGATGTCTATGGGCTCCAGTAGCCACTTAACACCAGGTGGACTGTGAGCTCATCCACCCATCTAAGCAATAAAAAAAAAGATACATTACCTATATATTGATGGCACAGATGAGCGCCTTTTCTAAAAGGCGTTAGCAATTTGATATACCGTTGTAATTACACCCATTATCCTGCATCTTCTAGGAGTTTTAATATCTGTGACGGTTTGGCAGAATAATCAAATTGGCTTCAAATAAAAGGGGGAAAACCCGCAGGGGAACAATGTGCTAAATAGTTTCATGTGTAGGCAGCAGCTCGGCCATGTCCCTGTCATTGCACATGTCCATCGTTGGCCATTCACCATCGGTTGGGCCATATTACTTACTACCTACTACTATACCATACTACTAGTACCAGACTGTCTTGCGTATTACCCCATTACGTACCGCTGAACTAAATTTCAACACTGCATTTATTCACGGTGTATTTTCAGAAATCAAATTTGCCACGTACTTATCATGTGACCATGGAACGAACTCTGCCCTCGCTGCTTCCCGACCACATCATTACACATGCCCTATTTGAAACGAGTCCTGAGCGTAAGCTGCTGTGTCCCCGGCTATGAGCGACCTTGACCCTTTACCATCGGACGATCCGAGGGTTCGTTTATATTTCGTGGCAATAAAAATGCGTTTTATTGTTTAGCTGTAAATTCGAATTAATCGCAAGTCCCGTTATAGACCCTTTAACCACGCAGAGGTGTCTACATTGTTCCCGCCGATAATATTAACGTAATTGAGGAAAACTAAATAGTTACACCGAAGCATGTATGTATGTCGTTTCATCGCTCCAGCTTCACAGAAATGAATAGAGAATAATAACCTGAACAAATACATTAATGAAAACAAAACACATTTTCGACGGCTCGTATATATACATCAAACCTCATTTATTGTCCGGACACATGCCGAACATAAAACGTAAACAGCCGTTGAAACCGCAAAACAATAACCGAACAAAGAAACTAGACGTTAAAATAATAATTCCCTCATCGCACGATCACAGCTCGCAGCGAGAGCCGAGACGTTACAACATGGTGTCTGCTGTTGGTCACAGGCGGAGTTTTTTCTTTGGCCCCCTCTGCCCCCCTCCCGACCCACAGGTGCGAGTGGTGCGACCAATCACGCAGCGGCCCCGACACGTTCAACAATCAATTCCTTATCTCTGAGACTAATTCTTGCATGTGTGCTGCCGATAATTATTTTTTTGTTGCGATAGTCAATCGGAAACGTTGTGTGCGAGTGTGGGTGCGGGTGCGAGTGCATGCAGGTTTTTATCAGCGGTGAGCGGACGCGGCCCGTGCCCCTGCGCAGATCGGTGCTGCGTGTGGGCGGTGTAGGTGTATCCATCCGCTGAGCCTAAACAAAACGCGTTGTTTGTGTTCGCAATAATCAACATATTATATTCCTGTGCTACTTAATGTCTTTATACGGTTACAATGTAAGCTGTGTTCGGCTGCCAATGTAATCTGCCGCGAGTGAGTACTAATCATATTACAGCTGACATCTTTGTCTGCTGTACAATTCCACAAATTATATTTTGTTAGAATGGACTCAGTTATACTCTAATTTGATAAGGATTCCACGTTTTTTTTTCCCTATCATTTAAATCATCATTTCAACGTTTTTAACTCAACGAATCTGATAATGAAAAGCGCATGGCTACGCCATCTAGTAGCAAGTAGTGAGACCACATTTTTTATTTTATAACATTTCTATTTAAAAATTCTGTATCTCTATGCATGACATAAATGTTAATAAGTCAACAAGTTAAATGCAACTTTTAAAATGTTATATTTCTCTCTTAAATATACTTATCGTTATAGACCAATATTATCAAATATGGTTTTATATGATTTTTGGAATAGATAAAATATTATGTAATTAAAAAACAAAGTATTATAATATAATATGGCTAAAATTTTAAAGATTTTTATAAAGTTACTTGGTCATAATATCTTCGTATCCGCAAAAAAACTGCCTAATATTTGTTTTTTTTTTTAATGTAAAATCAACATTTGAAAAACGTTTGTGCTTGCTTTTGATTTCATTTAATTCAATTCAATGTGGTAGTCGTTTTAAGTTTCGAACGAGCAGCGCCATCTATTGTCCAATAGCTGAACCACGAAAATATTTAACACTCCCTATAAAAAAATTCAAATTGATGGAAGTCATTCAGTTGTAGTTCCCCGTTATTATATTTAGAATTATGTCGATTTAACCTCATTACATTACAGTCATATTACATATTTATTAGAAACTGTAATGTTATTTTACCAAGTATAAGTACCTGCGGTTTTATTATGTAAATAAACTTCTCGCCAGTACCGATACTAGATTGTAATTATGAATCATACGATTTTATTACACACAATTAAAATTACTATACGTTTAAATACATTTGTAATGATAACAATGATCAGAAATTGTCTAGTCGTGGTCAGAACTAAAATCCTTATAAACTTATGTAAAACTGCCGAAACATACAAATTTTCCATTTATTTCATTCACATTACAACTAGAATATATTCTTTGCAGTCACGGTTAACGGAGTAACACAACAAGCACAAATCTCAATAATAAAAAATCTAAACTTTTATACGCCAAAGTATTCAAGCAGCAGTAGCTTTCCCTAACAGTTACGAATTCAACCAATAGCCAAATAAATACCTATACAAGAATAAACCCTGATAAGTGTTCATTTATCAATCTCCGTACCGCGAGACATCATATGACACCACTCTTCCACAAGTACGTACCACTCTTCCATAAGTATGTTCATATATTGTCTCTTCTTTACAGTGTCCTGTTTAATTCCTCGTCCCCGCGCTACCTTCAGGAACGTTTTGATTTCCTACATACTGCAAACTCCCATTCACTTAGGTCATCGGAGAACTTAATGCTGAAGTTTCCGGCTCACGGGACGTCATTCTATGACCATTCCATTACGGTTGAAGCAGTCCGTTTATGAAATGCACTACCCTTAAGCATCAAACAATCGTTCTCGCCGGAAATTTTCAAGTTCAGATTCGCACTACCTTGCATAATAAATAATATGGCTCCTACGATATAACTGTATAAGTTGCTACTTATTTTGTATTTATTTGCATATTTTTAGTATTTATTTGTATTTAATCGTATGTAAGTCTATCTTATATTGTATTTATTTTTCACATGTGTATATAAGTAAGTAACTAGTCAGGTCATAAGTATTGTCACACAGTAAAAACTTTTCTTTTAGAATGCTGGCCACAAAAAAGTTTATTGAATTCGAATTTCGAATTGTTCATGAAAATAAAAATGTATACTTTTAGAATTTTACTCATTTTTAAATATGGAGTGGACGCTTAAAGAAGACCGTGTTGCAGTTATTGCGTTGCATCGTTGCGGTTACGCGCCAATTCAAATTTTTAACATACTGAAAAATTTGAATATAACCAAAAGATTCGTTTATCGTACCATCAAACGATACAATGAAGACTCTAGTGTAGATGACAGGTCAAGAAGTGGTCGCCCTCGGTCTGTTAGGACTCCAGCAGTGATAAAAGCTGTGAAGGCGCGAATTCAAAGAAATCCCAAACGTAAGCAGAAACTGTTGGCCCTTCAGATGGGGTTAAGCAGAACCACGGTGAAAAGGGTGTTAAATGAAGACTTAGGGCTTCGGGCATATCGAAGAAAAACAGGACATCGTTTGAATGCTCGTCTAATGGACCTGAGACTGAAGAGATGCCGCGCTTTGTTGAAGCGGTACGCGGGAAAAAAATATCGGGAAATTCTTTTTTCGGATGAAAAAATTTTTACCGTAGAAGAGAGCTACAACAAACAAAATGATAAGGTGTACGCACACAGTAGTGAAGAAGCGAGCAACCGTATTCCGCGTGTCCAACGAGGTCATTTTCCATCCTCGCTCATGGTATGGTTGGGAGTTTCTTATTGGGGCTTAACAGAGGTACATTTTTGTGAGAAAGGTGTAAAAACGAATGCAGTTGTGTATCAAAATACAGTCCTGACGAACCTTGTGGAACCTGTTTCTCATACCATGTTCAATAACAGGCACTGGGTATTCCAACAAGATTCGGCGCCAGCTCATAGAGCGAAGAGCACACAAGACTGGCTGGCGGCGCGTGAAATCGACTTCATCCGGCACGAAGACTGGCCCTCCTCCAGTCCAGATTTGAATCCGTTAGATTACAAGATATGGCAACACTTGGAGGAAAAGGCGTGCTCAAAGCCTCATCCCAATTTGGAGTCACTCAAGACATCCTTGATTAAGGCAGCCGCCGATATTGACATGGACCTCGTTCGTGCTGCGATAGACGACTGGCCGCGCAGATTGAAGGCCTGTATTCAAAATCACGGAGGTCATTTTGAATAAACTTTAGTGTCATAAGAATTTATGTTTTGTTAAGTTCATTTTGGTATATGAATGGTTACATAATGAATAAACTTGTTTCAATTATTTTACATTAAACATGTGGCAGAATTTATGACCTGACTAGGTATATATTTTTATGTAAGTTTATTAAGATATAGTACCATGCTAGTTTGCTTATTCCTCTCCCTGCAAGGTTGCCTGGAAGAGATCGTTTTCAGCTATAAGGCCGCCAATATATGTCACCGTCTATTATTTGTTTTATATGCTTACTCTGTACATGTGGTGTCAAATAAAGAGTTATAATATTATTATTATTATTACCACTAATTACATAACAAAAAACTTTAAAATACCGCATTGTGGTCCTCTGGTGACATTTGCTTTGTTCATAATGTCATCAGTGATATGCTTGGTGCTCAAAAATTATGTGTACTTGTTGTCAGGATAACGACCAGGATCACGACAATTTAACATTATGGGGCTGGCGGGTATAATATACAGCATAATATTTAAATATTACAACCTGTAGAAGGTCAAACAGTATTAGCAATTATGAACTGCGTTCAACAATAGTTACACCAAACGAACTTGCGCAAATACCGAATAATTAAAACTGCATTTGCGCCGTCGTAAAATAAACGACGTTACGTTTTACACAAAGTAATTTTGTGATTTCGTAAATACTTAATTGTGAACAGTTCGTAATACAGTCGGGAACGCGCGTCGCGGCGTCGTGCGTGTGTGCCCCTCAGAATGTTTTGCAAAAATGATTCATGTTTTGTGAATAACCGGTGATTTCCGCTAGATTACGCTGTTACAGACTCTTACACCCCATCCGCGAGATGCTGTAATAGCCTCTTAGGCTACCAGCGAATAAGTAGGAAAAAACTTACCGCACACAACCTATTACTGCGTTGCATATTTCTATTTCTTTACTTTACTGGAACTCAGCGGGAACTTACCGGCTATTCACAAAACATGAATCATTTTCTGCCGTGAAGCAGTAATGCGCTTCGGCTTGAAGAGTGAGGCGGCCGTTGTAACTATACTGAGCCCTTAGAACTTATAGAGGGCGCATTTACGTTGTAAATGAATATGGCCTCCAGTAACCACTAACACCGGGTGGATTGTGAGCTTGTCCACGCATTTAAGCAATAAAAAAAAAGATCGCAGCATTACGGCTACTGGCGATGTCCATAGGCAGCAGTGATCATCTTCGATTAGTTAGGGCGGTTCTTCGGTCTGTTCCGACGACAAGAGACATAACTGACAACCTATTTAATAGATGGTCAACGGTGTGCACTCACAATGTCTACCATACAGATAAACGACAACGTCATACGTAGGTAGGTACATAATATGTGTGTACTACAGTGAGGAGTGGCCTCTAAAGTAAGCGATAACCGACCACGTCCATATTGTCCGTCGCACAAACGTGGCGTTAAAACTGCCTACTCTTCTGTAATTGACCCTTTAAAACTAGATTCAGGTAATTCTCAGATATGCCGAAGTGATAACTGAAAAATTTGGTCAATGTTACCAACCTTCGCATAGTATTTCGTGCCCAATAATACCTATATTAATGAACGCATATAAAGCCGGATGTGTCGGTTCGCAACAACAAACCAACATTTCCCCTGTTTCCTGGCCTGATAATGACTGGAAACCTATTCTTCAAATTTCTCGGTGCCCGTGCTTCCCCTTAACGTTACATGTTTAACTAAATTTAGTAAATTATCGACTGGCTCATTTGTACATAAAGCAGCAAACTAATAATACTTCGTTCTGTTGTTCTATTGTTTGTTGTAAATGATTTACAAGTCGCAAGCGAGCGGCAAAATTATGTAACGCTTTAAACCTGCCGCATTGCATCTAACGGTGCTCCAGCGAACTCTGACGCTAGAGACGGACCAGTGGAGGTCAGTACGCGAACACGTCTTAGGCGTACCTACATAATTTAGTATTGGCTGCAGAAACCCCAGGAAACACGCCCGCTAGGCCATGGACTTTTATTAAACTAGTACCATTAGTAGTAGAAGATGCACGTCGCAAACCCGTATCTCATGAAAAATAGCCGGCAAAACTATAATCATACAATCTAATTAACATTTTAATTACGACCATTCTGCATAATGACTTAATATCATGAATATCGGTGTGTATTTATTGATTTATCCTTTGTTCAAGCACTCACGAAGTGAATCGATACGATTTTTTGCAAGGGGCCTTCTACATTGGAGTGTTACTATAGAACTCACGTAAACTTTCATTCCGGAATTTCACGTGTTTCATTGTTTTAGAAGTACACAATGAACGCGGGTGACACCTAACTGGAATCAACTCTAGCGCGCGGCAGAGTTGTCATTTAAGAGCGACCGGTTGGCAGTGTACTGCATTCGACCCCGGAAGACTCGTTCTGGTCGTCCATGACGCTCGATGCCATAAAATACTGACTCGAGACCATTGAATGTGTAACTAAAGGGATCCACCCTCCTAGTTATTGCTATACAAGCTTCCCAACGCCAGCACTTCCCGACGCACCCCGAAAAGTTCTTGATATGGTATTTTTTATCAATGAAAATAAATGAACATACACCTTATTGATCGTGGCCGCCGTGGCTTTCGGATTTGTGCGATGCTGAGGACGCAGCCTGCCGCTAACATTTGTTTTCAAACGCCTTTCAAATAAATCGATTATATAATTATGTTTATTGTGAATTTCCTTGTCAACAGTTCGTCCGCTGGCGAGCGGAGGGTCGGAAGGCAAGCCGTCCGAAGAAGAAGAGGACCGCGGGGGCTCCCCGCTGGGCCCCGGAGGACCGTTTACCTGCAGCCAGTGTCGAGGCACCTATCCCACGCGCGAGCAGCTGGACCGACACGAGACCTTGCACACGCCCAGCACACAGGTGGATACAGTCCAATATGTCAGTTCACATTGTAATATCAATGCTTCTGATAAACATATTTAATGCATAATCAAACGAAATTATATACTAATTATAATTCAAAGAGATATTTTCCTAATTTTAACAAGGACGTTTTTTCTTTTGCCGATAGACATGCAAGATCTGTCATAAGAGCTTCGCGAACGTGTACCGACTGCAGCGGCACATGATCAGCCACAACGAGAGCGCCGACCTGAGGAAGTACAAGTGCAACGATTGCGACAAAGCCTTCAAGTTCAAACACCACCTCAAAGAGCATCACAGGATACATAGCGGAGAGAAACCATTCGAATGCGCTAATTGTGGGAAGAAATTTTCACATTCTGGTTCATATTCGAGTCATATGACCTCCAAGAAGTGCCTAGTCATGAACCTTAAAATGGGCCGGATAAAACCGAACAACCCTGCCCTCAACCCCAACAGAAGTCCGTCTAGGAAGCGAGCGAACGCAATAGCAACATCTCAATTGAACAACAACATACCCTCAAACGGAAACACTTTCCTTCCTATCCTTCCAAAATACAACGAAGCTGCTGCCTTTTTCGCTTCCATGTCGTCACAAGATAGTAATTTCCATCGCCCACCCTTAGGGCAGCCAGCTCTTAATCCATTCTATCTGCCCCCGGGGCTACCAATGAGTCCTGCTAGTGGTATCACTCCATATAGCTTAAGCCAATTTTTTGAACACTTAGCTTCATCTCAGTGTCCGCCAAGGAAAATAGAGAAACTACCCAGCCCGAAACACTATAATCCCGAGGCTCCCGAAGACCTAATCGAAGAAGTCACTGAGGAAGAAGACAAGAGATCAGAAGGGAGCGCCGAACTGGTCATGGATATTGAGGATGATGAGGCAGTTACGGTTAAAAAGGAGAAACAAGATCAAGACTGTGAATCAAGGCCTCCATCTCAATATAATTCCGTCCCAATAATGAACAGCAATGTTCAAGATGAAGACAATAATCAATCCAGATTCAACACCATATTAGAATCAGTTAGTGCATCTGTAACCAAACATTTCATCAGTACTAATGCAGACAAGCTGTCCCCGGTCGCCGGCTCCGTGTGTCCTAGCTTGGAATCGCCTCCGACGCCGCATGTCATCATAAAGGAAGAACCGGAGGACTTAAACCGATGCTTTAAATGTAACATCACTTTCGAAAGTAGGGACGAGTTGTTAGACCACGAAAAGATACACTGCGATAATATATTTAGAAAGCATGAGAGCTTAGCGGCGCAAGTCGCGGAAACGGTGGCGCTCACCAGGATAGAAGCTGAGATGAGGAACAACTTGCAGAGCGGCGCGAGTGCGAGCGAAGACGAAGACTCCAAGAACGATGATAAACTTTCTATTCACGACAACGACAAGAAAATCAGAGTCCGCACCGCACTAACTGATGTCCAGCAAGTCAAACTGAGGGCGTTTTACTGCTTCGACCAGAGACCGAACCGGGAGGAATCCAAGCGCATAGCTCAGCAAGTCGGATTGGACAGTCGAGTGGTGCAAGTGTGGTTCCAAAACTTTAGGGCCAGGCAGCGAAGAATGACGAAAACACAGCTCTCGCCCGACCAACCGCTAGACTTGTCCACGAAGAAATCGAACCAATCGGTGACCTCCACGCCGTCGCCGTCGCCTTGCAGCATTTCAGTTACACATTCCGACTCCGAGGAAGCTGTGAACTTAAGTCAAAAGTCGTCACGCAGCACAACGCCTCATCGCACCAATTACACCAACACTTACTCACATTCCAACTGCTCATCATCTTCTTTCACTGACTTTAGACTGTCGCCATCGCCCGGTGAGATCAACGGTCAGAAACGTTTGCTGCCCCAGAAACTCAATCCCTTAGTACCCATGGAGAAGTTGCTGCAGTACAACGACATGGCCAATGGGAGATCTCCTATCCTGAACATGCATATGTCGAGTGACGTAACCAGGCACGGCAGCCCGTCCTACGACCGTCCCTGGGCTGATGACGTCCAACCTTCGATCGAATACGACGATGAACCGACTGTACTTAAGAAGGGCAAGCTCAAGCACGTCGATGTCAAGGAAGGAGAAGGACAATTTGTGTGTGACCAGTGCGACAAGACCTTTGTGAAACAGAGCTCTCTAGCCAGACACAAGTACGAACATTCAGGTTGGTGCAAATTATATTCCCACTCGGTATAATACGTTTTCAGCGAAGCTGTCAGCTCTAAGTATCGGAACCTACGTTCAGTACAAGGTACAAGGATAACTGATGCTAGCTTTCCCATAGCTGGACGGTCTAAAGCAGCTAATCAAAGCTATGGGGTGAGGAGGGGTTTGTTAAGTCCTTTATCAGATTTCTGTCTGCGTGTCAATCACTACAGCAATGCGATAAGTATGATGTTAGATACCCACACGTACGACGTGTTTTTTTTTATTTTATTTTTATTGCTTAGATGGGTGGAAGAAATCACAGCCCATCTGGTGCTAAGTGGTTACTAGAGCCCATAGATATTTACAACGTAAATACGCCACCCACCTTGAGATATAAGCTCTAAGACCTCAGGATAGTTACAACGGCTGCCCCACCCTTCAAATCGAAACGCATTACTGCTTCACGGCAGAAATAGGCAGGGCGGTGGTACCTACCCGCGCGAACTCACAAGAGGTCCTACCACCAGTTTGTCCCTAGATACGCAATACTAATCGTTTGAAATATTTACCTACAGGGCAGCGACCTCACAAGTGTCAGGAGTGCCCGAAAGCGTTCAAACACAAACACCACCTCACGGAACATAAGAGACTCCATACCGGGGAAAAGCCCTTCCAGTGCTGTAAATGCTTCAAGAAATTCTCCCATTCGGGTTCGTACAGCCAACACATGAATCACCGGTTCGCCATCTGCAAGCCTTACAGAGAGTAGATATAATTAGGGATAGAGTGTGAAATACTTGGATTTATCTATTATTTCGCTTATAGTACATACTTGGATTTTTACGTCGATATCGATGCCAAATAGATTATGTGCCAAAATGTTTATTTTAGATGTAAAATAAGGTTACCAATTAGGATCGCCGCTCCGGACATAACGCTTGGCGTTAATGTTAAGTATGTGTAAGAAGACACGAGATAGTATATTTATTACGGTAACAATGTTATGAACAACGAAATATTACCTGATACTCATTGGGTACTATAGTATTCACGAGGTATTTTTATGGTTGTTGCTCAACTTTTTGATTTTGTACAATTTTTATGTTTCATATTAGTGTCGGCTGTAAGGAGAGTGTGCCATTGAGTACCAAATCAAATGCCAAATTAGTTCTAAAGTCTGTAAATTGTAATGTGCTATTTTTATTCATTTGAGTGCCAATTACCCGAAACGCGTGCCATTCAATGCCGTTACAAATTCGCGATAATTCTAAGTATAGTTTCTATTGTAATTGCAAAGGCCCGTACCTGTAGTATAATACTCAAAATAATATTAGTTTTAAAACAAAGAATAGTTTTTTTTTTTAATATACGTAAATATAATTCCATAACGTATTAATAATAGTCATCTTATTGATTTTATTGTACATTTTTTTCTATTTCAAAGTGAGCTGTTACACTAATTAAAACTATTTTACCTTTTGATCTAGATTGAATTTCAAAATTTTAAAACTAGTTATATATTATAATTAAGTATTTCTGTTTAAATACATAAATACATAGAATAGCAAGTGCAACAGTGAGTGATGTTTCAATACAAATAGCTTTTCTTTGGATCTACACAACTGTTAACACACTAGCATCGCATATCGAGGGATGTTCCCTGTTCTAATAAATAAAAACGCACTGGTAATAAAACACTACATAATACACCTTAAGAACATATACTATAGATACTGCAGATAATTTCTGATATCGAAACTAGCTAATGTTTGCCCGGTCATAGTGCTTCACCTCACATGTACACAAAACGGTGTCGATTCCTGATCGTCTTTGTTGTTCGGCGTCCTCCCGAGCGTACTGAATACCTCTATACAAAGAAAAGTTTTAGCCGTTTCATTAGAAAAGTCCGCTTAACGCCCTGCAGAGTATTTTTGCTAAAACACAGACGCACCACGGAGCGTTCTCTTCAAACGTCGGCACGTAAAGTTAGAACAGGATCTGATTTCCCATTGCGAAGTTTGCGGCAAGAGCCCTGCGACCCTGATCGTGAACTGCAGCTGGTCTCTTAACTTACAAACCATTGAGCATAACTGATTACATTACAGAACATCTTGTAGCCTCACTGTTAGAATCTCATGTTCTATTCTTTGATTCCACCAGTTTATAGAGAAATATAAACTAATATACTAATCTTGCATCGTAATAATTATTTAGATAGATACAATTTTATTTAAGTTTTACGCATTCCATAATTCGTCTATGGGATCTCTGATGTGTTTAAGAAACTATTTTATACAGTCAACGTTGAAATTTATTCTATAAGATGTAAATATTGTTGTAAATAACGAATTTATGTGTAAATATGATCGCTTTAATTAATAACGGCAGTCCGATACTGCATTATACACAATACGGTGACAATAACGCACGCTGCTTCTAAGCTATTTTGATGTAAAAATATTTTCTATTGATAAAGATATGTACTATATTCCATGTACTATATCACGTTATATGCTGTTGACCTAGTGTATCCTTCTTGCCGAAAACTTGTAGTATCTAGTAGAATATAGTTCTCTTGTACTAAAATATCATATAAAATCCAATTTATATTCTATTACAAATTCCGGATACATAATTCTGACTTCATTTCCTTTCGTTTCCGCATTATAAAACACCAAAGTTCCTAACCGAAAAATACATTTTAAGTGTATAAAATATAATTTATATATTTTTAATAGAGTAATTACGTAAGTAGAATAATTTTTCAGAGGTTTCCAATCAACGAATTACATGTAATAACAGTATGAACTATGTATAAATATATATTAGCAATAATTAATGTTGCAGTATTTGAACCCTTTCTTACGGTTAGTGGTGTGAGCGCACATCAGGCATCGGTCCATCAGGTATTCCTTATCATCAGTTTCATTTTAATTGTTAATTACTCCACTCGTCTATACTTGAATAACAGATTACTTTGTAGTTTCATATAGGTACATTTTAGCCTCTTCTACAGAAGATCTTGTACCTAGTCTATTATTTTCCTTTGTTATCAATAAACCAAAGAATGTACAATATGTAACAATATTAGCTAAAGATGAAGATTGTCACAAACTAAAGCGCAGCACTTGACATAAAATTATGTGATAAATACTCGTATTTGAGTATGTGGAAGTCTTAAACTTTTAAACCCAAGTATGCACTTTTTTATACAATTACGAAAATAATGTGATCTTTCCTTTTAATCGTTCCGGTGCTTTAACCGGGCTACTCATAGGACCCGAGTCAAATTAACCTTGATAATGTTAAATAAATGTGTAATACTGCTCTGAATTGTTTAAACGTCATAGTTTTGCTTGTTTTTGTCTCGTCACGTGTTGTGCTCCACCGTCAGTATTCAGCATATTAAATTAATAACCATGTAGAAAAAAAACCCCATCGCTTTAATAATACATTGATTTAATAAGAAAGGTAAAACAGTAGTTCTAGGTAAGATGTGTACGTTATCCTATTTGAGCATTCAAATATTTTATATTATTTTTAATAAGTTTTTAATAAATTGATAAGTGTCAAAATTGACAGGTGGGCTAGACAAACCAAAGATAACTTACGTAATATACGACGTGAAGATCTGTAAATAATAACCACGTCTAGGAAATAAGTAAATGTTAAGTCGCCGTGCCAAAAAAAGATAAGCTTCATTTCCTTTCTGAAGGCATTAAGTACTGTAGCTTATTTTTATTGTGCAATAATAATGTTGCAAAAAAGTATTTTCTTCTAGTATGTAAAGTTTGAAGTTGTAAGCGAATGTGAATTCCTCATGCCATATAATATTAATGTGTTTGTTGTATTTGCGAGCGAGTGTCACGTAAAGGTTGCTAATTTGTTAAATGTAAGTGTCTACTTTAGATTGTTAAACATACACATAGGTTGAAAGAAAATGTGTTAAAAAATTGAATATTGCCTATTTAAAATTATAGTAATTCATTTTACTTTATATTATAATGTATATTAAATTTATGAATATTAAAAATATATATATTGACAATTCAATGCGGATTAGCTGTTTTGTTTTTATTTGGATGCTGTTCGCCTTAAACCCTGTTCTTTAACATAACTAGATGATGACCGAGCTTTGCTCGGTTTTTTTTTGATAACGCCATCTTGTTGTGTCTTTAAAGCGGTTAGTTGCCGTTAATTAAGAAAAATAGTATTATTATTCGCCAATAGATGTCGGGAAGAGTTGATTATTGAAAACACGATTAAAACAACATTTTCTGAAAATAAACCGTAGCTAGATCGATATATCGCCCCCGAAATCCCCTGTATACTAAATTTTATGAAAATCGTTGGAGCCGTTTCCGATATTCAGAGAGAGAGATATATATATATATATATATATATATATATATATATATATCAAGAATTGCTCGTTTAAAGGTATAAGATATGAGCGATTAATGACTGTAGATTTTGTAGCCCCTGGATTTTCTGACCTAGGTATTGTGAGATATGGTGTCGACTTCATGGTCCACACGGTCGAAGCACTTAACATAATATGTATTTTGTCGCAGCGGCGACATCAATACACCTATTATGAATAAATTATAACAATAATTTGGGGTTGATGATTTCCGATTCTGTAGGTTTCGAACTGCAATATTCTACAAGTGATCAGAATGATGCAAAACGGGAACCGAAAAAAATTTGTGGCTAAGCCTTGTAGGAAGTGGCTCCCCCCGGTAAAGGTCAAGGGGCGACCTGAGGGGGTAGCGGCCACGCGGCGCGCTACCATCACTAGCGTGCTGCCAAGGAGTATCAATAATAGAAAGACCGGTTGGCAGTGTATCGCGTCCCGACCCGGCAGGCTGGTTCTGGTCCAGTGGGGTATTCCTGGACACCAGCGGCGCGTCTGGGTGGCCTGACGGGCTGCCGTACCCAGGCCTTGTCCGCCTGGATAGCGAATATCCAACTAAACCGTTGCCAAACAGCCCAGCTGTGCTCCAACGTGTGGTCTGGAGTGCCATTTCTCTTTTTTCCTATAACTTTTCCTTGTTAGAGTTGAATCTTGATGTCGTTTGGTTTGGAACATGCTAGGCGAAGGTGTGTGTTCCACTATGCTCCGCGTCTTTCTTTGTACATTAATTTGATCTCTCCTCTAATATTCTTCCTCTTATAACAATTCTCTCAACAAAAATTAATGAATGAAAAAAGTCTGAAAAATATTTACGATGGACGTTATTTCAATACAGGACACTGTTTTTGTCTATGATAAAAATTCAATTAAAAACTGCAGTTATAAGTATCATCGACAAAATATTAGATCCCATTCTCGCGGATCGTTGGAACCTCTGGGCCTGCGGAGGTACTACGGCTCCCTCTGTATTTTGTACCGTATGTTCCATGAGGAGTGCTCTGAGGAATTGTTTGAGATGATTCCATCATCTCGTTTTTACCATCGCACCGCTCGCTCCCGGAGTAGAGTTCATCCATACTACCGGAGCCACTGCGTTCATCCACAGTGCCTTTCCAGAGATCTTTTTTGCCACGTACCATCCGGCTTTGGAATGTACTCCCCTCTACGGTGTTTCCTGCGCGTATGACATATCCTTCTTCAAACAAAGCTTGTGGAGAGTATTATACAGTAGGCAGTGACTTGGCGCTGCCCCTGGCATTGCTGAAGGCCATGGGCGACGGTAACCACTCACCATCAGGTGGGCTGTATGCTCGTCTGCTTACATACCCAATAATAAAAAACAATTGACCATGTTGCATTTTCAGAGATAAAGAATTGGTTGAAGCATTTCGGTCCACAAATTACCTACCAGTTCTATGACAACGGTTACCATCGTAACTTTGTTACACGTTTGCATTACTATTGCTTCACTTTTTTTATTGTTACCCTTGTAGACAGATGAGTACGTGATGGTGAGTGATCACATTGCTCCTCATGGTTGACAATGCCAGGATCACAGAGAATCCGCAAACATACAGCAGATGACTCTCTTCAACTCTGGTTTAAAGACGAACATAAGGCTCTATAAACACCGTGTAGGAGAGTTCATTCCGAAGCGGATGCTATATGACAAAAAGGATGCTTGGAAAAGCTCTGAATGAAAGCAGCGGTTCTAAATAGTACGGTGCTCGGGTGGCGGGCGGTACAATAATAATAAAACTGATGTAGGGTCATCTCGGATAATTGCTCACGGAACATACCTACAGTACAAAACACAAAGAAAACCGAAGTTCCTCCTTAGAACCAGAAGATTTTATTTTTATTGCTTAGATGGGTGGACGAGCTCACACGACCTGGTGTTAAGTGGTTACTGGAGCCCATAGACATCTACAACGTAAATGCGCCACCCACCTCGAGATATAAGTTCTAAGGTCTCAGTATAGCTACAATGGCTGCCCCGCCCTTCAAACCGAAACGCATTACTGCTTCACGGCAGAAATAGGCGGGGTGGTGGTACCTACCCGTGCGGACTCATAAGAGGTCCTACCACCAGTAAATCAATATGCACAGATCAAACGATCTAAGGGATGATTCGAGATTTTAGAGGTACAAAGCCTTCTTAGTAAGCGGCTGTTAAATGTAAAATATAATAATGATAATAGAACTGACCCACGGAACTACCGTAATGTGGCGCGTGTTAATTTAAACATTATAGTTCCAATAGTTGGGCCGGTATACGGTTTGATAGCGAAAAGTTTCGACCAGGCCCTTGAGAAACTTTCGTTGTCCAGCTGGGCTAGGGGCCTGGTACAAAAAGCACCTATCCTTGATATGGAGCGTATTGTGAGGAGGTCTCTCACTCGGGAGCCATAGCCACTGGTCGCTTACGTCGTCCACACCGCCATCATTGGTCTGTTTCTTGTCAACTGACGTAAAAATTGGTTTATTTTACTGAAAAGGAAGGAGCTATGTAAATTATTTTATGTTGTTAATATGTGTTTCTTTGGATTTAAGCATTATACGCTTGTATGGTTGTAATTTATGAACCGTTTAACATCTGTTAAAGTGTGTAAGTGTGTTTAGCCACTTAGTTCTTGCCGGATCTTCTCAGTGGGTTGCTATTCCAATCCGGTGCTAGATTATGCGAAGCACTGTTCTTGCTAGGGTTAGTATTAGCAAATTCTCTCAGGGTGAGCCCGTAAGCTCGCTTACCTGTTTGCTAAAAACTGTAATAGCCCCTAAGGCTACCGCTAAAACGCACAATAGGTAGGAAAACAAATAAGTGTCTGAAAATGAAAATAAAGTCGTCGGTAGTGACTTATCGGGCTCTCTCAAAATCCATTAGTTTCATCAAAATTTCACCACTTTGGTGAGTCATAATCTTGTTTTACTTACTCCCTTCTCAATAGAATAAAATAACAAATTAATTAACTTCATCTCCTTCCGATTCGTGTATTTCTTAATACAAGAGAATAATAAAATGTTGACTTTCGGAGGGTAGAACTAAGGAGCACCATCTCAGTGTATTTAAAACTAGCGACCCGCCCTCGCTTCGCTTCGGAAACTTTTTTTTTTTTTTTTTTTTTTTTTTTTTTTTTTTTTTTTTNAAAAAAAAAAAAAAAAAATGTTCATCAGGGACAATGTCGGCTTCTAATGGAAAAAGAATTTTTCAAATCGGTCCAGTAGTTTCGGAGCCTATTCGAAACAAACAAACAAACAAATCTTTCCTCTTTATAATATTATTATTAAGTATAGAAGTGTCAAAATTAAAAACTTAGGTGGCGCTATAGTAGCAAGCGGAAAGATTTTAAAAACAGCGCCATAGACTTTTTTTTTTGGTACAATTTTTCCTTGTTAGGAAAGGCAAGGGAATCTAAGCCCATACAGCCTTATCTGCTTTATATATGCTTTGAAATAATTTTTCAAAAAAGCCGAAGCCAGGTCTTATATGATATATATTAATATATCCTGAAATAAAAATGTCATTAAGGCCGAAGCCAAGTCCTTTATAATTTCTTCCTGAAATAAAAATTTCAAATCACCCTTCACTCTATTTAAAACTGCTATATTCATATCAGTTCCACTTTACACTATTTATTATACGCATAGCGCTATTTCGGTGAGTCTTCCAACAATAACTTTCTGTTTAAACGTGTACACTTTTTGAACTTGTCCCATCTACAAGATGGTGCTCTTTACTCTCCATATGTTGACTGTATACTCACCTACTTCAAGCTCGAAACTGGCAAAAATGGCACCGTGAGAAGCGAATTGCCATATAGAAAAAAAGAGAAGAAGAAAAACAAATCACGTATTAAATGAGGTTGTACGGTATAATACCTTTGCCTTTTCGATTAGAAAAATGAAACTAGCACTAGAAATAGTGATACCAGGTACACTGTAATTACAATAAGTTTACTATAATTTTACTGCTGTTACTGTCTACTGTATTGCAAAAATACGGTGTGAAGATGACTATGAAAACCAATGAATTTTTGTTTATAAATAAAAAACTACGTTAAACAAAACGCATTGTACGTACATCGGCGTACGAGCTTAAGGAATAATATGTAAATTCTCACAAAACTGTTTCTTTTAATGGAATGAATGGTATCTCCGGGCCTTTAGTGAGTAATAGACAAAAAAATTATAAATGATTATTTTTCGCAAAACATAAATATATGTATTTCGCAAACTCTTTGTGTACTTTAGATTCGTTTTGTATTATTGCGATTATTCATCAATAAGTATTTTCAGTCGGCATCCGTGCGTTATTTTGGAAAGTGGCGTGCCACGGAAACCTTCTTGTTGTGGCCGCCGGACACTACATATCCGATCTTGCGGACCGAATGGTAAACAGTTGATGCCGCCCTAAGCACGTCATTTCGGATCCTCCCGATGTACTAACGGTACTTTTAGGGACCTGAAGTACTGGTCAACGTTCTCGTCGAAAACCGAACTTGCCGAACCCTTCGCCGGAAGGGACGGTCCTAAAGGCGAAGGGTTCGGCGAGTAAGTTAACCCACAGACGCAGTCCACTGAGTTTTTCACCGAATCTTTGTGGGTCGCGTTTCTGATCCGCGGTAGATTCTGCGAAGCACTGCTCTTGCTAAGGCTAGTGTTAGCAACGTTCACAGGTTAGACCCCCGTGAGCTCACCTACTCGTTCGGTGTATCTAGTATAACCCTTCGAGTTCACAAAAAAGTTAGGAGAAAAAAAAGTACTGTGTGATTCAATTGCCTATTCGTAACTTAATTCCTTAACCCTTTCGGTGGTATTGATTCAATCTATTGTGTTATTCAGAATGTTTGCGCATGAAAGAAATGTTGAAAGACGCCTTACGCCTATAACAAAAAAAATATATAAGCAGTGATAAAATTTACGTCATCAAATTTTCATAAAATGGTTGCGACGTGATTCAAAAGACCCATACTCGTAATAAATAATATTTTAAGTACCTCTGAAAACATTTATGAACAAATTTAAAATGTCAAAGGTTCTCAATGACGATTGATGAAACTAATGATATCAGTACAGTTCAGACACTGTTTGTAACATTATAAACAATTCATTATCCAGTAGGTTTCAACCGGCATGCCCCAGATTAGTTTTTAAATTTATTTGTCCATTTTTTAAAGTACGGTATGTTATTTAATTTTCTGCAAAAATGCTGTAATTTACTAATTTACCAATGATATAAATTTTTTAAATTCTAAAATAACTTATTTTTAAATAATTAACTGTAAATATGCAAATCTGATCTGGCAGCATTGACTACAAATCACGTTAACGGACTTTTTGGCGGGAACGCGAGGAGTGCAGTTGTGTGATTTGTTTTATTTTGTCTATTTAGTGTTTCTTCGGGTTTAAATGTGTAATAATGGTGGTTTATTAACTGTTTAATATCTGTGAAAGTGCACAAATGTGGGAAAATGAAACAAAGCTGCTGGACGTAACTTCTCGGGTTCTTCCAAAAAGTCCACTGAAAAAATCTCAGTAAATGACCACCATTTTACTGCGATTATATTTCATCCCATATCATCTCATTTCATTAAATTTCATCCCAGTTGATTAATGTCTCAAATTAATCATCTTCATTTCATTTCACTCCATATTATCATTTTTCATAAAATCAAGAATATAAAGTAAAATAAGACATGACTTAAAGGTCTTAGTTACCAGGTCATAAAATCTCTTAAAAAAAAAAAAACACGATAACGTTGTGTCAATACTGTCAAAAGTCATAACGTTGATGTGATGGTAAAATCAATTGGAAATGAGAAGATTGTATGTGTCTAATAAATACGTACAAGAATTAAAGTTACTTTTAACATATTAGCTAAATTAAACGTTTTCAAGTATTTCATTAATTTTTTGAACTTAAGAAAACGTTGCTCGTAACTTATTAAACAATAGAAATGGGTGGTAATTCTAAACAAAGCCAAAGAACCAAAAATAACGTCCGTGTAAGTGTGAAAATAAAATCAAATAACATTTTCCACATAATTCGAGAGGTTCATGATATCTCGTTAATATTATTTCGGGAGGGTCTGCCCTCATTTATTCATAATTGACAATTTAATGCAGAAAATGCATTGAATTGTAAGTTGTTACGAACGTTCAATGAAGTAATGCGCAATGTCCTGTACATGGCTCTTATTCAATCAATTTAGTTATTATTAGGTAATATACTGAGGGTATTGCGTGGCTTCATTCTTATTCTCGAGGGTACAGTGTATAATAGTGTCTAGAAAAATAGATATTAAAAATAATGATGCAGGTATTCATCTTACCAAAATTTTATTTGTTGTGAATAACTAGATAGTTGTTAAAAGTAAATATACAAATGAAATTCTAACTGCATCATAAAACTTAATGCAGGCAAATATACAAGCTTTACCTAATATCTAACTATCAATTTGCCAAATCTTTTGTTTCTTGAAGAATGCTTGAAGAACAAATGGCCGTTGAGGCCTAAAAGCTATTGTCTGGCAACCGTGTCCTGAAAGATGTAGTGTGGATAGACCTCCCGTGAGGTAAACATTTGACCTGTGCAAGGTTGCAGGAATTTGTTGGATTTGGATAGTGTAGGACCGGATTTTATGTGGAACCTTGGGAGCTTAAGTTGAATGGTGGACTTTGGTGGGCTGATAGTACTTATATTACTAGCAGCTGAAAGTCTAGTGCTGAAAACAATAGTAACAAATAGCATCTCCATATCTCAAATGCCAAAAGGAAAATAAAAAAAACTTAGACTTGGACTTAATAAACAGTTTGAGATATTATGAAGTATTTGATTGCTAAAATTTTTACTTAAGGCTTTTTGAGTATATTTTTCAAGTAGTTAAAACAAATAAATAAAAATGTGGTGTAAGGTTTATTGTAGGTACATATTTATTTGAATCAACTATTTCTTTGAATTTGGGGGAATTTTAAGTAAGATGTTTTTTTTATTGCTTAGATGGGTGAACGAGCTCACAGCCCACCTGGTGTTAAGTGGTTACTGGAGCCCATCGACATCTACTATGTAAATGCGCCACTCACCTTGAGATATAAGTTCTAAGGTCTCAGTATAGTTACAACGGCTGCCCTGCCCTTCAAACCAAAACACATTACTGCTTCATGGCAGAAATGGCAGGGCGGTGGTACCTACCCGTGTGGACTTACAAGAGGTCCTACCACCAGTAATATGTCAATAAGTTTGACAAACTTCTAATGACAGAGTCTGAATTTTGAAATAAAAGTTATCCAGCATAAATATGTTGGTACCAAAATGCCCATGCAGGGATATAACATTTGGTTCGAGATACAAAGTCTAAATAATTCGAGATATTATTGTATATTGAGTATTTCGGGACTATTTGGAAGAAGGGAATGGCATTTTTTTACTGATTTTGAGTTTAGAGATTTCACTGTATAGTGATTTAAATAGAAAAAAAACTAAAATGCTCACTCATTGAGTTAAGATGAAGAAAATCTAGATTAAATACAAACACAAATTTGAAAATTTAAATGTGAATATGAAATCTGATTTTTACAATATTAAATCTGATTTTTACAATATTAAATCACACATGGTGTTTTAAAACATGAAATTATTGACAGCCATCCAGCAGTGGGCGCAGTGCAGAACTCCTAAGCAATGTCAAGCTGGAATCAGGTCTAGTGAGCATTGCAGGAGGAAAAGTTCTTCCAGCACTGTTTCCAACACTTACAGTTGCTACTATAGACCAGGAAATTAGTCCAGAATTCCAAATATGCATAAAAAAGTTGAACAAAAAGGATCCTATTACAAAGACAAAGGTAGGTAGATACTTTTTGAATGGTGAATGAAAAGCTGAGAGTTAAGCTCTAGTCACATCAGCATAATTTCTTCATTCAACTCTATTCTTATTTTTTTGTCATGGTTGTATCTTTATTATTGTATGCCTATTATATATTAATGAATAAGTGGCTATTAAATTGCATTGAATTGACAACTTTTTTAAAGTGTTTTATAGTAAAATGATAGAAGTAAGAGGTTGCCCCTTTTTTTATTTTTTTCTATATGTTTTTTTAACAAGTCTTAAACTATTGTTTTCTTGACTTTAGCTAGAAATCCATTTTTGGGTGTGATGAGTTTTATTTTCTTTTTTGCTTCATTGTCACATTATGCTTTTACCAAAAGCCACTAGTGATATTAATCCCCCTGTCTTAGGGGGAATTAATTTTTATAGATTCCTGTTTGTACATAAGCAGATGTGCAGTTTGGGAAGCACTGGCCTAGAGTCAAATGAATGTTATTTTTGCAGGGACTACAGGAAATGTTGGAAACCATAAACAATAGTAAAGTTGATGATGTCATCACAATTCTGCCAAGCTGGGCACATTTCTATAAAATACTTGCCATTGACCCAGACAGGAAAGTGCGAGAGTATACACAGGTGTGTTGTACATTGTAATTACACAAGATGAATGCTTGTGGATAATGCAGAGAAGTAGATGCTATTATCTAGTGCTTCCTTGTCTGCTTTGCTGTCTGAATGTGTGTAGGTTTTACATTGGATTTTCATTCTCCACAAATTAAAGTACACCACAAAGGCACATAGCATTACAAATAAATAACCCTACCTATAATAGGTTTTTTTTTCTTCTTATATGGGCGGATGATCTCACAGCCCACCTGGTGTTAAGTAGTTACTGGAACCCATAGACATCTATAACGTAAATGCGCCACACACGCTGAGATATCAGTTCTAAGGTCTCAAGTATAGTTTCAAAGGCTGCTCCACCCTTCAAACCGAAACGCATTACTGCTTCATGGCAGAAATAGGCAGGGTGGTGGTACCTATCTGCGCAGATTCTCAAGAGGTCCTACCACAGAGGTCTCATAGACGAATTGTAATACTAGTTCATATCTATGAAATTACGACTTTCTTGAGGCCATTCGTTTATTCTCAACTAGCGGACCCGGCGTACTTTTTTCCGCCTTAGAGGCAATAAACGAGCAGATTTGATCTTATCAAGGACAATTTTTTATTTGGATAATTAATGTATTATAAAAAAGAAAGTATTTTAATGATTCTTTATTGTCCATGTATTTTAGTTGTTATTATTATTATTATCTTTTCTTGTTCTTCTTCAGTCCTTTCACTCGCAATGTTTCGAATCTTAGTTGCATTACGGCTTCGTCGGGAAAGGTGTGATCGTGTTGGTCGCGGCATGGCTTTCTTAATAATTACCTATCTTGGCACAAAAAGCTAATAGAAACTTGAAGCAAATACATCAACCGGTCAACTTCAAAATTCTACAATAATAGACTACATTACGTTTAGCTGTCAGTTGCGTTTTGTTATACACATTTTATGTCACGTCCGACGGAAATGTGATAAAAAGTATCCTATGTCCTTCTCCTGGTTCTAAGCTACCTCCCCACCAATTTTCAGCCAAATCAGTTCAGCGGTTCTTGAGTTATAAATAGTGTAATTAACACGACTTTTTTTTTATATAATAAGATATAGATTAAGAGAAGGTTTTTTTTTGTTGCCCTTGTAGGCAGACGAGCATGCGGCCCACCTAATGATAAGCGGCTACTGTCGCCCATGGACTTCAGCAATGCCAGGGGCAGAGCCAAACCGCTGCCTACAAAAGTAAGACATTGTATTGTTTGTGTTCCAGTTATGCCACAGCAGCGTGGTGCGCGCGTGCGGGCGGCGGCTGGCCCCGCGGCTGCGGCAGCTGGTGCCGGCGTGGCTGCAGGCGCGGCACGACGAGCACGGCCCGGCGCAGGCGCACGCCAGGACCTCGCTCGCTGTACGACCCCCACTAATGTCTATGGATTACAAACTGAGCGCAACCTACACTTATCAGTTGTTCCAATAAAATTGGAGTGTCTGTTTGTAATATAGAAATAACCGCTTTTTACTACATACATATGAATATTTATACGGTATAACTTCACTCATACGTAGCTAATGATATAAGGAGTAACTTAAGCTACTTTTTTTAGACTAGCTTCGCCCCGCGGCTTCACCCCCGGTACGACAATAACCGCGGGTAACATCGCGGGACTCAGCTATCAATAACAAAATTTAATGTTTCCAAAGCGAAGCGAGAGCGGGTCGCTTGTATTGAATAAAATACTAAAATACGCCTATAAGTTACCACATGACAGAAAAATGTGATATCATCATCAGTTTTACTTTACCCAACAGACCTTCCACATTATACATTTGTGTGTATTTTAGTGCCACTAATTAATTTTCTCTCAATTTCAGAGTACGTTCCCCGATGCCAAGCTACCGGAAGTTTTAGCATTTTGTAAGACAGAAGTTATGACCCATTTCCTCGATAATCTCATCGGCACCGGTGAAGCCAGCATCTCCAAAAAGTAATTCATATTTATATGCTCATTGTTCTCGACTGCTCTGGGGTAGACCGGTGATGTCTTATAAAATAAAAGAGTGGACTGTAATATGATACGTATAATATTTGTTCAGTTTACAAAGGGAGTAACAATCAGTGTCGCTGGTGACGTTACTGCTCGAAGTGCCGCGCCGCGCTCGGCGATGTCCGCGCATCGATACATATGAATGCAGAAGTTGACCAACAAGACATCACATTGTCATCGCCACCTTCTAACATTAGCTCGAAGTCTACGGCCCAGAGCTCCCTAACAGAGGGCAGAGAGAAGACGTTTAAACAATTATAGCGTTTAGTTTCCTTTTCTGCACAAGTCGAGAAACTATTATTGGCGCAGCGGCGACGATGACTTTCCTTTTGGTAGTGGTCGTTGGTGGTTGTAGAATGGGTCACCAGTGCCGGGCGGCACATTAACGAGTCCGTAATAGGGTAGACAGTTTATTACCCAATTTGCGGACAGTATAACAATATTTAGAAGAAGGAGAAATTACGGAGAACAGAAGGCACAGCGATACGAACACAATAATGGAAAATAGACAAAAGCAATAGATCGCAACAAAGCTAAAGAGTACGCGTAAGTCGAGGAGTGACACAGTCGTAGCGTGGCGTCGATCAACCTCCGACCAGTACGTACGGAGCTATGTACATACACGGGTCTTCGCTGCACACTAGCGCCCGACTATGCTTTTGTAAATAATATAATTTTGAGTAGTGTTGTGAATGTATGGTGGCTTGGCGTATTTGTGTACTGTATGAGTGTGTTATAGAATAGGTAAACAAATATAATATAATATTAAATATTGAGTAGGTGTGTAATGTAAATTAATAAATATTATGAACTAATATACATAAATACAGTAGAAACATCTACATTCCTCTCGTGCGACCTCGGGTCCAGTACGCCTAGTGCTCACATTCGGCGACCTTGTTGTAGAGCAGACAGCCCAGAAGACAAGGAGCAGCAAGTGACCCGCCTCATCAGCAGCTCGCTCCTCGGCCTGGAGTACTTCGTCCGGCAGCTGCCCGCCCAGCACGACGCCTGGCTGTGGGCCCAGCTGTCCGCCCTGCTGCACGCCGCCGCCTTCTGGAAGCTCGCGGCGCACTCCTCGCCGCGGATACGGTAACTTCAGTCTAACTGCAATCTGGTACACCACACCCTTCATTCAACTAAGCTAATAAAAATATAGACAAAGTAAGTACTGGAGGGCAATACTCCGCCCGCAGTCTTCGCGGTGCACTGAGAATTGTTTGCAGCAGGAAATATACTTGTTTCATTAAAATGACTTGTTGCAAATCTTGTTATAGTTTTTATAAATGTTTGGGATTTACTTTAATACTGTCAGAATGTATGTGAACGTAATTGAATATAAGCAATAAGCAAATGTGGCGCGAGAGAACCCTTGCCTGCTCTCCCTTTTCGAATCTCAGTTGAAGAAGGGCACAACGAAATCCGACACGAGACATGCTCCAATGAAACGATGATGTTAGTTAAGTGGTGTGCGGTCCGCAGCGCGGGCTGGGCGGGCGCGGTGGGGCGCCTCGTGCAGCGGTTCCACTCCACGTTCGGTGACCAGTTCGGCGCCAAGACCTTTCGCGTCTTGCTCGAAAGGACCCAGGACACCGAGCTGTTGGTGGTGGCGCCGCTGTGGACCTGTCTGCTGCTCTACACGCACAGCGTGCAGGTACGTATTATGTTTATTACTGGTGGTAGGACCTCTTGTGGGTCCGCACGGGTAGGTACCACCACCCCGCCTATTTCTGCCGTGAAGCAATAATTCGTTTCGGATTTAAAGGTAGGGCGGCCGTTGTAACTATACTTGAGACCTTAGAACCTATATCTCCAGGTGGGTGGTGGGCTGTGAACTCGTCCACCCATTTAAGCAATATTTAAAATTAAAAAAAACGCTCCCGCCTGCTATCCGCGGCCCCGCTAGCCAAATAAAAAAAGCATCTAAATACTAAATTAATGCCCTTTCAGTGGTTTAAGCATGTAGCTCGGAAAACTCAGAGTAAAGATACGAACAGCAGGGATACACCTGGACTTGACACCAGTTGTAGATGAGATTGTTCTGTTGTAGGACTGGTGTGAACATTTGGAGAACAAGGAATTGCTGCTTAAAAGAATGCTCGAGTTATTAGAAAACGGTAAGTATAAAGTAAAGAGGCTAGCGCGTGGGCTGGAGTGCGTGTTGCAATGCGTGCGTGCCGCAGGGGGGCGCGGCGACGCCGGCCTGCTGCGCGCCGCGCTGCTGCCGCTGCTGCCGCGCCTGCCGCGGGACCTGCTCACCAAACACTTCTACGAGCAATTCTTCGACGCCATCTTTGTGGGGTCAGTTCATGGAAATACATCTTATTATTAAGTAGGTACAATAAGGGAACTGATACAGACGAAACAAAACTTTCGAAACAAAGCTTTTTACATTCGGTTAGAATTAGTAGTACATGCAACGAGCGCCCCGAGGTGTCGACAGCGCCACGCTCGCAGCTCGGCCGCCGATGAACCCTAGAAATGTGCGGCAAAAGTTATAGTTCAATAGAATAGTAGAATTGTAGAAACAGTGCTTTAATACTAAACCGGAGCTTGACATTCGATCAACCAGTCGCTCGTCGCGGTATTTATCGAGGGACAGCAACGTCGCACGCACACCCCCCGCCCCGCCCTGCCCCGCCCCGTCCCGCCCCGCCCCGTCCCGCCCGGGCCGGCACGAGCGCGCACACGCACACTCGCACGTTAACACAGTTGTCGGTTGACAGGTTAGAAAAGAAAAACATATTAAGTTCGAAGAGCGAGAGGCAGTCCTGGTTGAGCGGCCTGGCTGAGGGTCTGCGCCACCTGGCGCGGCAGGACGACGACTTCGTGCTGGAGGTGGTCACGTCGGTGCACCGCGCGTGGCTGCGGCACGTGCTGGCGCCGCGCAGCGACCAGCGCCTCATGCACGAACTCATCAAATGTTCGGCCAGCAATATGGCTGCTTGCGTCAAATTTTGGCACCAGCAGTCTGAAGACAAATACGACCAGCTTATACGGAATTTCTGGCAAAACGTGAACTTCACGCTTTTGAGTCAAATCGAAACGTTGTCCGATAACACCTCCGACACCGCCAGCGCGACGGCCGGCCACGTGCTGCTCGTCCAGACTCTGAAGACGTCGCTACTAAATGAACCCAAAAAGCAGCGAAGCATCAAGTTCGAAATGGACCGTGACGAGGTCGCGCCGGAGCCCGCCACCCCGGAGTGGAGTCCCGCGCCCGACCCGGCCGCCGCGCTCCGGTTCCGGCGCGACCTGGACGACGCCGTGCAGAGGCTGGTGGCGCGGTACTTCGAGCTCGTGGGCAGCAGCTCGCACTGCGAGGCGGTGCTGGCGGCGCTGGCGACCCTGCTGCAGGAGTGGGAGGGCGGCGTGCGGGCGGCGGGCGCGGCCGCGCTGTACCGCGCGCTGCTGCGCCCGCGCCTGCCCGCCTCCCGCGCCGCGCTGCTGCTCGCCTTCCGCCTGCTGCCCCACATGGACGCGCCCGAGCGGGACCGAGTGTTCGACTCCTTCGACCAGGTCACGTGCGTCCTCCGCTCTATATATTGCTCGCCCCTTGCCAAGTGCGCTAACAGATTCAGATACTTCTTAACTAAACAAAATAACACACGTCACGACGAAGGATTTAGATAGCTTGTATAAGATTGTCCCGGGACATCCAAATGTGCATATTGTGGTTTCCTAATCCATGGACAGAATTTTCATCCTGGAGAAGCTCTCCTGTTGTGTATGAGATCCCTACCTACTGAGTCGTGACCGGATTCCGCGATACTCTTCCAAACTACGACCAACAGACACGTTCAGCATTATGTAACGAACTCTGGTGTATTTATCTGTCCATTTGTTCCATTTGCAAGGAAAGCACTGAGTTCATTGAAGGAGGCGATTAGTTCGGTGTGTGGTAATGATGTACTGTCACAGCTGACGGGTGACTGCGAGGAGTGGTGCATCGAGTACAGCGCCGCCGCCGCGTGGTGCAGCACCAGCGCCGCCCGCTTCCTCCGCTCCCCCGCCCGCACCCCCGCCCTGCTCCGCGCGCCGCACCTGCTGACGGCGTGCCTCGCGCACGGTAAGGGTAGCAAATCCCCGCCCCTCCCCCGCACCCTCATAGACCCAATATAATTTTTAGGAGATTATACTTTTTAAGAATAATAACAAAACTTTATTAAGAAGTTAAAATACAGGCACGAATGATTCCAAGTTATTTTTCAGAAATACTAATCAGCAAAGAAGCAATCTCCGAAATCATTGACGTGATCAACAAGACCCTCGCCGACCCCGACTCTCCCGAGCTGGAGCTCCGCAGCAGGATGGGCGCTCAGCTGGCCACCACCTTGCCCCAGGACTACCACGATCAGAACTTTTCGCGGCTGCTCGTCAACCTGTTCCATCTGAACGTTCTTGTGCCGGTGCGTACGTCCCGCGCCGGGTCGCTCTACCTCCGTCCGAGCAGCGAAGCGTGCTGCCCGCGGGCTCCAATAACTCTGAGCGTTGGTTGCAGTTGGGAGACGGCAGACTGTCGGCGGACACGTGGCACGAAGTCCGTTCTTCCTGGCAAGACGGGATCGGTGCGCTGGTTCCTGCTGCAAGGAAAATAATCTATAAAGAAATCAATGACTACATCATAGACACGCTGTTCACAGAGTAAGTCGCTCCGCCCCGCATCCGGTGGCGCCCCCCGGCCCCGCATCGATGTTTTGTTCCTTCAGTAAATTTGCTCAAAACGACAATTATATATTGTTGTTGTTTATTCTATTTACTTTTGGGACGCATCGTCATACCTTTTATCGGCTTAATCTTTATGTTGCATGACATGCAGGGTCGCGGAGTGCCGGCTGACGTTTGTACCTTTCAGAATCCGACCCCTGGAGGCGGGGCGGGTCGAGAGCATCACCTCGCTGTGCCCGCTCGTGCTGAGCAAGGACGCGTCGCCGCCGGAGCTGCGTGACGTCACGGAGTTCTCGCGGGCGCTGCTGGGGGGCGCGGGGGGCGCGGCCCGCACGTGCGCCGTGCGCCACGACTGCATCCAGGGCAACTTCAACTGCCCCTTCAGGGACGACCCCTACATGAAGACGATCATCGACGAGGCCGACGGCGAAGCGACCGAGCCAGACGAGAGCGACCTTACGGTCTATGTGAATAAGTGCGTTTTTCGCTCGCTGTACCTGAAAGCTATTTTGCTGCGCGAGACGGAGGACGAGAGCGGCGACGCGCAGCGCTGGGGCTCCCTGCTGCTCCGGGACGACTACTTCCTGCTCGAGTTCTGCCAGCTGCTGCACGACCACATGGTGCTGTGCACGCTGGACGAGGCCTATGCGTTCGTGAGTGAACATCGACTCTGTTCAATTACACATTTTCTTGTTAGTAAACAATAATGGCGTTATCAACTCGATAATAATGATATAACAGTCGCCCCTGCACGAGATAGTGGGCGCGGCCAGACGCACAACGGACGCCGTGGTGCTGTCCACGGTCCGCGGCACGGAGCGCCCGGCCCGGCGCCGCGTGCTGGCCGGCCTGGCGCGGCGGGCCGCCGCCTGCGGGTACTACTGGGCCAAGGCTCGGAGATACTTCGAGCTCAACGTAGACCCCGACGACCTGGAGGCGGAGAATCCTTTCGACACGTCGAACCTGGATCTCGAGAAGATGGCGGAAATCGTAACGGGGAACGGGTACTTCCACAGTCTGCAGGTTCGTGAGCGGCGAGCCGACACGCAAACATTCACTCTAATTCATTCCAAACATTTTTAATTCAAGTACATTTAGGTCTCATTTAACAATAGTATTGAATGTCAAAGTGAGTTTTACCGACGGCCCCTAAAAAACCACAGACCTGAAAACAACTGACGAAATAAATTGAAATGTTCCATTGGTTGTTTTCAATGTGCAAAATACTCATTGGAGCCTTCGTCCCCAGGCGAGCCTGCGCGGGCGCGAGGGCGCGGGCGCGGGGGCGGCGGGTGAGGCTGCGGGGGCGGAAGGCGAGGGCGCGGGGGCGGAGGGCTGGGCGCGCGTGCTGTACCTGGTGATGGTGCGCAGCGTGTACGCGGCTCACGGCGACGAGCCCGGGGTGCTGGACGCGCGCTTCCTGCAGGAGCTGGCGCGCTGCGACTCCGGCTGCCGCCTCGACGTCATCATCGACCTGTACTACCGGCACAACCACGTCATGCTCTACGACAGGTAGCGCGCACGCCTCCGCAACCGACGCCAATACAATCACTTTATATCTTCACTTCGGTATGCTGTCCAGGGATATCCGGTCGGCGAGTTGGGCGCACGTGCTGAGCAACGCGGCCGTGTGCGAGTGTCTGCGGGCACAGCTCGTGGGGCGCGGCCGGGCCGCCTCCGCCGCCGTCTGGGACTTCCTCTGCATCACGCTCTGCTCGCTGCTCTCCTCGCTGCAGCTCTCCAAGGCGCACTGGGGCTCCACCAAGGTACGCCGGTCGAACCTCTCCGCGGAAAGACGTCTCAAATCATTCTTGTGATTAATATTTGATTAGCATTCTCGGCAATCTGAGAATTCATTTATATATAGAGTGTTCCACAAAGAGTATTTGGATCCGCAACGCAGCGGCTGTGCCTACAGCGCGCCACTCGTGTCGCCGCCGAATGATCAGTTGGACGCGCCGCATCGAGATAGACAATAGCGAATTTGTTCAACTCTTTCCAAGTAATTAATGCGACGTAATATGCAACCTTATTACCAAGGAATACGGCTCACAAACCTTAGTACGGCGAAAAGAAGCTGTTTAATATGACCTACTGCCGAAGGGCCGAAACTTGGGACTACTTTGTAGTGGAAATGCTTCATTGTTACTTTAAAGTGATTCAAGTATTAACTTAGGTGACACCGACCCAGAAGAAGATGCGAAAGAGCCAAAGGCTCAACAATTGCAATATCACCACTGCCTGCTTGCGTTCAACTCGTATGACCGGTGCCCATGCGCTTCTGTCGATGTGTTACTACGAATCCTACGAGTACTACGGCACCTTGTATAACATTAAACATAATTGACAAAGGGACACCAGAAGACAAATTTCAAATTTGTTCAATATGTTCAAGTGTACTTTATCCCGAAACTATTCACTTGGAAACATTTCGTTTCGTCGGATTGTAGTTCTAATCGACCAATATGTAGAATTTTCTCGTTGAAATACCGTTTGTGGGACACTCTGTATAAGGAAATATGTAAGATCCCAAGTTCGGTGTGCGCAGTACGCGCTGCTGGCGCGGGCCGTGTTGCGGCTCTACGTCGCGGCGGCGAGGGCGGTGGACACGGCGGGGGGCGTGGTGGGGGACACGGCGGGAGGCGTAACGGGGGACGAAGTGGCGGGGGCGGGGGCGGCGCGCGCGGCGGAGTGGCGGGACGTGTTCGCGCCGGACCTGCACGCCAACCTCTTCGCGCTGCTGACGCACGTGCTGGGTGAGTGCTCCCCTAATAATTATATATGAGTGCTACTCTAATAAAGTTATCGTACTTTGAAACTATCAGTTTAAAAATTTTGATTAATGAAGCATCATCTTACTACGCAAATTAATTCGTTACTACATTAAAGTGAACTAAAATAGTAAACGCGAAGTTAAATGTTAAGATATCACGTTTGCGCCAACATATGAATGTATCGTTTGGTTCCACTGCAGACTCCCACCACGCGCCGGTCAAGTCCACTCACGTGTCCACCGTCGAGGAGCTGATGCTCTGCACCAAACACATGGATTGGAACCTGTTGCCCAAGGAGCAGCAGGTGAACACGTTCGCGCTGAGCCGGCTGGTGCGCGCGTGCTGCGGCGGGCTGGCGGGCCCGCACCGCGCGCACCAGCACCTGGCCGCCTGCGTGCTGGAGCTGCTCGTCGAACCGCTGGTGCTGGAGGACGGTAAGCGGCGCAGCTGCCGGCGCCGGCCCGCCCCGCGCCCCCCACTAACCGAGTGCGTGTTGCAGTCGGCAAGCTGTCCATGTGGAGCGAGTCCTCCGACGAGGAGAAGGAGCAGCACGAGCGGCCGCAGCTCTCACTGGAGTACTTCCACGAGGACTTCGTGCAGCTTACGGACGCGGTGGAGGCCGCGCTCGCACCATACACGTAGGAGCCGCGCGCGTGCCCGCGAGCCGGGCGCCCCCCGCCCCGCGGCGCCCGGCTCGCGCTCGCACCACACATAGATTGGTCGGCCGCGATCAGGTCGTGGTGTGACGTCACGCTCCCCCCTCCCGCAGGGTGGGCGAGGCGGTGTGCGGCGCGGCGGGGTGCGGCGCGGCGGGCATGTCGGCGCGGGAGCGCGGCGCGTGCCTGGGCTGGCTGCTGATGGCCGACAGCCTGCACCGACAGTGCCGCGTCGCTAAGGGGGACCTGAAGCACTACTACATCCACATATACAAGTCAGTACCCCTGCCCCCCGCACCGCGCTCAGCCATGTTGAGGTTAAGGAAAGATGTAAAATAATTATTATGATTTATTTCACCTTTTTAATACAACACACAAAGAAAATAATATAAATGCTATAGTAGAATTATTTTGTCGGTGCGGTTTGGTTCATAAAACATAGCCCGACTAGAGCGGTGAGCATGTTGCGCGGGCGCAACGCCATAGTCGATAAAAACAAATGAGTCATCAAAGGCAGGTACACGGCGGCGGGTGGTATACGAAGGGTGGTGAGACATTGTTATTTTACGAATCATTGGTTGTACTTACCTGCAAATTATAGTACATATGTCGAAAAGAAATGTGTTTTTATGCATTCGCTCTCTGTATTTCTTTAGTGACACAACGGCTACTCCTTTGTTTTGTACCATAACGGCAGAGTTTATTCAAAATAATATTTGCACGTGTCAACAATGTGCTAAAATTTTAACTGAAATGAAAATAGATCCCGCAAAGTTACAAAGTGTCGATTTGCTGTTCTCGTTAACTTGCTGCGGCGATATGTGGTGTAAGTGTTCGATTAGTGATTTTTACTTTCATTTCTATCACTAACCCACAAAACGATAAAACTAAATACAATTTCGATAACACTTATCGAAAACAATAATGCGCATCACTATGCCCTTCCATAAGGCTCGTGAGTGGAAGAGAGAGCGAAATATTCGCTTCACCGCTCCGATTTTTTATGACCGAAACTGCACAGACAAAATAATTCTACTATAGTAAAAAAAAAGTAAGCCATCGCAGAAAGGCTGGCAGATGTGACACGTTAATATTATTTTGTACAAATATAGATGCATAAAAGGGTAGTTTACGACAGAAAATTCATGTGGCATAATGGAAAATAAAACATTAATATTAAGAAACAGTCGCCTGCGCATGGCGCATGACGCGTCGCCACACCGCACTCACAGATTATACATATACATATTGTTATATAGCGTGGCGACGTTACGGCGCTAGCGATTGGTGTTACGTGCGGCAATAAATGTAATAGATGGTTATCTATATATATAAAAATGAATTGCTGTTCGTTAGTCTCGCTAAAACTCGAGAACGGCTGGACTGATTTGGCTAATTTTGGTCTTAAATTATTTGTGGCAATCCAGAGAAGGTTTAAAAGGTAGATAAATATGAAAATGCTCTCAGTTAAATAAAAATAACAATTTTATTTTTCCTTTGATGTGTCCCCCGTCGGACGGATTCCTTTTGTTTGTTTAAGCTTATTTTATACAAAAGTTTGTCTTTTATTTATCGATTGAGGCACTACGAAGTCTGCCGGGTCAGCTAGTATCTTAATAATGGTTATATCTTATAAAAATATATAAACACTAAAACTAAATTAAGTAATCATTTAAATAGGTTTTATAATTCTTTGGTTCGAGTTCGGATTATGGAATATATTGGTCACATTTAGAGGAACGTGAAAGTATCTTGGGACGTTTGAGAACATCAATGGTCGTCATTTGAACGATCTAAGCGGCCCCGGGGCACGCGGGCCCTTCGGAGCGGTTACCGTCTTCGAACCCGAGCGTATGCGTAAATAATGTTAATGGAACGGACAGATGCGGATAGACGTCGCCACATAAAGTATTGTTGACGAGAACAGAGACAAGGAGTACGGCGTCCCCCTGCTGGAGGGCAGTCTGCGGCTGCTGCCGGAGGAGCTGCTGGCGCACGCGCTGGGCAACAAGCCGCTGCCGCCGCAGTACGCCGCGCACTTCCACGGCACGGCGCCGCGCTCGCTGCGCCGCCCGCCCGCCGACGAGCTGGCGCGGCTGGCGTGCGCGTGCGTGCGCGCGGCGGTGTGCGGCGCGGGCTGCGGCGCGGCGCGGGCGTGGCGCAGTGCGGCCCCGCAGCGCGCCGCGCGCCTCTTCGACGCCGTGCTGGCCGCCTACGTCACGCCGCTCGCCGTGCGGGACCAGCTGCTCGCCGTGCACGAGCGGGCCAACGAAATCGAAAACGCACAGGTACTACAATCCATGTTTCTAACGTCTGAGCCATCTCACTCGGGGAACGGTAACGACGTCTCATTGAATTAAAAAAAGAGAGAAGGGGTGTCACGGGATACCAGATAGGAACGAAGTTCCATCGAATACAGTAAAAGCTCTTTATTTGCGGGGTATATGCTTCATAAATAAGCCGCGAATACAGAAACTGTGAATACAGAATGGTAATTTATATGGGATTATTGGGAAGACGTTCCTAGGTGACAAAAAAAAACATTATGTATATAAAAATCAATATAATTGAAGTTTTTGAACATTTTGATTAATTCTCTTAAGGCTTAGTCAATGGTTAAGAATTTTGTAATTCTCTCTTGCTTGGCAGTTTTTAAAAGCGCCTTCAATTCAGACTGATATGCAGCAGTCGCATTAGCAATTGATTCTAAAAAATAACACGCAAAGCGTCTTTTACTATAGAACGTTACTATAGAACAGCAACATTTAAAAATATACTTTATTTAATAAGTAATAAAGTTGCTTTCATTCTGTTTGTTTACATTCTCAAAAACACGGATCGCGGCGAAAACTGCTTATGTCACAAAGCCCTCAACGATATAATTTAACAACATACTTTAACCGGTGTTCGAATCTCGCTGGCGGGTACCAATTTTTCTAATGAAATACGTACTCAACAAATGTTCCCGATTGACTTCCACGGTGAAGGAATAACATCGTGTTTACTGGTGGTAAAACCTCTTGTGAGTCCGCGCGGGTAGGTACCACCGCCCTGCCTATTTCTGTCGTGAAGCAGTAATGCGTTTCGGTTTGAAGGGCGGGGCAGCCGTTGTACTATACTGAGACCTTAGAACTTATGTCTCAAGGTGTTTGGGCATTTACGTTGTGAATGTCTATAGTAGGAGTGGGTAATATCGGTTTTGCCGCGTATCGAATCGTATCTATATATCGAGAATCAATATCGGATATTGAATCTATATATTTTCTGAATCTATATATTGATGGATGCTAGTAGATTTTCTCGATTCATGATATTTGAGATTTGAAACGATACGCTGATATAATATCGTAGTAGATATAGATTTAAGTCAACGTTATACGGTTGGTTTTCTGATATCAATTTATAATATGATCTTAAAGTAATAAAAAGAACATGAAAATAAAAATATCAAAAAAACTTTCCTTCATGCTTTTACCAGGCTTAGGACTGGCTACATTATTTTCAGTTTTTAGTATTTTGTGTCTTAATTTAAAATTACAAAATATACCAAAAGAGTGTAGATTTCAAAAGTTTAATACAAACACAAGAAATAAACTCAATTATTTGGATTCAACTAAAAATAGAAAAATGTGTACTTTAAAAATCAAACACAAAAAACTTTTAAGTATTTATAAACACTTGTCCAAAAATTCTAGTTCAAGGTCAAAGCGCGTGAAATTAAATTCAACGATGCAAATAGGCTATACTGCATTCAAGTTAGGGTCGAAAGTTGAAACTTCTTTCCTAAATTGTATCCTGCTGATACGCTAAGAATAATCTACAAACATATGGACTCAAATATAAGGTTTACAATTGTATGGATAATGCCTGTTTCTGTTTCATTCATCACATGATATCCCTATCATGCGCTCACTCACTCTGGCCGATTCGATACGAACCAAACGAATATTGCTGATATTCACGAATCGGTACGTTATGCCGATGCGCATCACATCGAGCAATATCGTGTATCGGTTGATATCGTTATATAGATTTCGATTCACGAATCGGTACGATATGGCGATGCGCATCACATCGAGCAATATCGTGTATCGGCTGATTTCGATATATAGATTTCGTGCGGGGCGATATCGGATTCAACGATATTGCTGCGATATATAGATATTGAATCTATATACGATTTATATCACCCACTCCTAGTCTATAGGCTCCAGTAACCACTTATCACCAGTTGGGCTGTGAGTTCGTCCACACATCTAAGCAAAAAAAAAGAGTGCGTGCTTTTTTTTATTTTAATCAATTTGAAAAAAAATCGATTAAATAACATCCTCAAACACGCATATTGGACATCCCTTTTCTTGACGTCGTATAAATTCGGTAATTCTCACTACGGTTCGGAAAGTTCACCTGCGGCTATATTCAGACTCGCCAAGTTACGTCGGTCGTATTGTAATGAGCGATTTAGTGGGCAACTTCATTCTGTTAATTTTGTGTCACGGTGCGCGCGCATCGTAAAATTTCACTCTCATCAATTTTTCATAACACGCCTAAAGAAGTATAACTTTAAAATTTTTTAAGCATGTGTGTCTAGAAGAAATTTAAAGAAATGAGAGTAATTCGTGAAGTGTATTATTAGGTGTTATAAATAAAATACAATTAAAAGTTAAGAAGTTTATTTATACTTAATATTAAAATTTATGTGTCGCCGTCTACTGTCATTTTCTAATAGTGCTACCCCTTGCATTAAATTTATGGTAGCACCTAAGCTGATGGAAGGAGTTGGCTCCTCATCCTCGACATAACTCTCGTCGCTGGAAGAGTCGCTGTCGTCACTGGCGTAAATAATAAAACGCTCAGTGACTGAATCGACTATATTATGGTCATTGGTATTTATTTGGTCGTAGCACCGTCGTAGTAACGGTCGTAGCACCGTTTCCCTGCATCCCGCTTGACAACCAAAGAGACCTAAAAAACGACTTGTGCGCATCTAACGACTCTTGCGAAGTTACGTGCCGGGGACTATACCGGTAAAATGGGGCGATTAGGGATTGAGAGGCGAATCGGGAAAAAACCGGGAAAATCTTTCGACGCTCAATATAAGTTTTATATTCGTTGCAAAATCTTCCATTTTTTGTAGTTTAATAGTAGAATGTTGAAAGTTCACAAAACAACTCTGAATATGCATGATAATAGCTTCTAACTTATAAAAAATCGCGTTTCAAATTAACTTCCTGTGGTGGTAATTATTTTAGTGCTAGAAACTTTGCTCTCTTTTATTTATTTGATAATAATAGAAGACGACTATGATTTATAAACGTTATTTAGTGTTTGAACCAGCATATATATTAAAGGTAAGTCTCAGTTGTTATTGGTTTTAATGTATTTGATTAAATAAAAATACATGTAAAAATCTGTTGTTTTTGGGGATATTGGGGACGTCTTAGGTACAAATAACAACGAAAAAGGGGTCAATTGGGATGAGAATACGTGAAATGGAAACGACCTAAGTATAAATAGGTACAGGTTTGTAGGGTTGTCTATGTAGTTATAACAATATTTTTTAAATTTGTTGGTAAAAATCTGGTTTATTCGAAGCGAAATTGGGAATAAGTCTTTAGTTGAAATAGATAAGCAATTTAATATAAGTAAGTCGATTTTGCAGAGACATGTAACAAGATCAATGAAATCTCAAGGTGGACAAAAATGTCTAAGTAATACATAATAAAATATTTAATATTTGTTCAGAGTGGGGGTATTCATCTGATTAATCCATGGAATAACCGACACACCTAATCTCTTAACCCAGATAGAAATATCAGCACTGTCGATTGCACCTATAATTGAGGTGATGTCTGCCATGTACTTTTGTCAGTTTTTCAATTTTTTTTATTGATGATCACTTTGTTGGTGCAACTAAATAAATAAATAAATTAAAACTATATATAAAAATAAAAGTAGTGCCAACCCTAGCAAATTTCTCATTTCGTCCCAATTAACCGCAATTTTCGGGTAAATAGGGATTACACCTATTTTTGCATTTTTTGCTTAAACTGGAATGCTAGTTGCATAATTTTAAATTAGACAACAAAGATGCCCCCAAGACTCAATCATTTTGATCCTGATATAGCATTATATACATCAACAACTACCTTAAAATTGCTCATAAAGTTGGAATTTGTCCCTAATCGCCCCATTTTACGGTACCATATCTCGCTGTCGATACTTTTGGATTGTTGTTAGTGCGCTTGCGCGTTGTCTGTACGTGACTTCATGCGTATACTATACACTATGCATTGGCGAGGCGGAGTGGGACCAGAAAGAGAAGGGATGAGAGAACAGAAAGAAAGAGGGAGAAAGAGAAAGTAATTATATAATATTCGCTTGTGTATACCACTATAGTACTGCCGTTATGTTTTTCTCACGGTTTTAGACTCACATTTTTTTCAGTTCGGTCGCGCAGTAAAATCCCTATTTCCTCCAAGCCTGCCGTAAGGAACTTCGTTCCAATAAAAAACAAACCAAATATATTTTTAACTCTTATTATCTTGACCGGTACATATTAGTGTAAAGGAATAAATGAAAATGAATAATTATCGGCGACAAATCGCACACAGCAATGTAATATACGCTTATCTCCCTGTTTACCCCACTGGCGGGTAACAATCCTAGAACACAAGACGTTAGACGGGCGCCGGAATCACACTGACCACGCTTTCTAGATAAGCTTACAGGTACAAAAGCTCCGAGCGACATCGCTCGCACGCGGCCCGCCGAGCTGTGTCACCCGCTCGGTGGAAGATCGTCCCTATGTCGTTGTTGCCAAACACTGAAGATAGGTTATAGGGAACAAACATTATGTAACATTGCTGAAGCTGTATGACACGAAATAACCTCTCAGTGTCCTTGTTGATGATTGAATCAGCCAATTAGGGGAAGTAATAGTGGGGCTGTAGAGATATTTTAAAAGAGGTTTGTAAAGCTCCGAAAATTCATGTCTCAGTGCGCGGGGCTAAGAGCGGCGTGTTGTTGTAGATCCAAGTGCTGTGGTCGTCTCAGGAAGTGTCGTGCGTGTACCGCGTGGAGGGGCGCGGCGTGGAGCTGCGCGTGCAGCTGGCGCGCGACCACCCCGTGGGCGCCCCCCGCGTCACCCCGCCGCCCCCCGGCTCGCCCGGCGCCAACACGCACTGGATCTCCGTGTACCTGGCCTACCAGGACGGCACGGTGCTGAGCGCGCTGCGGCAGTGGACGCGCGCGGCGGGCTCGCGCGTGCAGCGGGCCGCCGTGTGCTACATCTGCTACTGCCGCCTGCAGCCCGCCGCCGGCACGCTGCCCCGCGCCGCGTGCCGCCAGTGCAAGAACAAGTTCCACAAGGAGTGTCTGGTGAGTGCGGAGCCGGCGCCGGACGCTGCGGTCCCGCGCGCGGCTCCGCTGCAACAGGTCGACTTGTCTACTTGCAGCGCAAGTGGTTCTCGACGAGCAACAAGTCCAACTGTCCGCTGTGCAGGGCGTCCTTCTAGCGGCCCCCCGGCCAGCTCGCCCTGCGCCCTACGATCTGACTGTTTTATTTTAAATTATGACGTCACTGTGTCAAAATCATTGTTGTGTGTAAATAAAATAATCCTGGAAATGTTATTCAACTCGTTTATGTTTTTTAACTTATTTATGAATGCATGTTTTCTTTACAAGGTTTTGCACTAAATACACATCAAAATATATCTAACATTGACACGAAACAAAGTTGATATAAACTTATATTAAGTAATTTACATTTATTTCATTACATTTACTCATTTATAATATAATATTACGCTATGACGTGTTCCCGAGATCGCCATCGTTGACCGGCCCCGGGTGGCGGAGGACCGGGGGTGGGGGGGTGCACCCCCGCAGCAGGGCAGCAACTATGGCGCTAGTATAATATAATACCGAGGTGAACGTCATCAATGTTGCTGTAACTGATGACTTATCCATTCTATGTCTTCATAGAAGCGAGGATCACTAACGCGCAGAGCTGCTCGTTTGTAGAAGAAGTAGTACCAGGGGGACACTGGAATCGACAAAAATACGATATCGACAAAAATACGATTAAAACTACAAGCCAGAAGCAGACCGCGCCGACACTGCGATAAAGCATCATATTCTAAGACTAGCGACCCGCCCTCGGTTGGCTTCGGAGACATTAAATTTTATTATTGATAGGCGAGTCCCGCCATGTTGCGCGCGGTACGACAAACTGCGGGTGACGCTGCGTGGCGAAGCTAGTCTAAAAAAAGTAGCCTAAGTTACTTATATCATCCTTATATCATCAGCTACCTATCAGTGAAAGTCCCGTCAAAATCGGTCCAGCCGTTCCAGAGATTAGCCGGAAATAAAAGACAGACAGACAAAAATTGTAAAAAAAATTAAAAATGTTATTTTGGTGTATGTACCGTATATATATTCATATGCATGTAGTAAAAAAAGGCTATTTAAATATTACAAACACACACTCCAATTTTATTTATATATATAGATTACGCGTTACCGCATCACAGCGTAAGACAGCGTAACACCAGATGAAAAATAAAAGCAATACTCACAGCATCTCTGGACCAAGAACAGGAATATGACCGCTGGTCTCGACGCCGAGCCCGGCTCGTGCCACTGCTGCTGCAGCCACACCGCGTGCAGCAGCACGCTGGCCGCCGCGTACGCCGCGCACACCGCGCCCGCCGCGCGAAACTTGCGCACCAGCACCTCTACCAGACCAGCCTACGGTCAATTACGTGCCGGTCGGAGCTCATGCACATATTTGTGGAGAGAGATGAATGGGGAACCACAACCCGAATGTCCAGTGTGGGGGTGCGCCGCGGCAGAAATAGGCGGGGCGACGGAACCCGTCCGTGCGGGCTCACAAGTCGTTCGTTTAGCTACGTCGAGTTCAAAATAGGCTCGCTTAGAATGAGACTTAGCTTATTGAACCTGTAACTAAGATATTTAAATTGCAAACTACAACACTAAATATAATAAATAACTGAAACAAATCACGCACAGTCGTCCGGCCACAAATTAGGATTTCCTGTGTTGTAGGTACGAGAGACTGACATACATACATCCTTATGTACATATAAAGATACTGACCACTCGGACAAAGAGCAAACAAACCTGTACATAATAAGAAATTTTGCCCTATGCGGGAATCGAACCCACGACCCTCAGCGCAGCAGCCAGGGACGCTAGCTACTGCACTACCGTGTCCGTCGAAATAAAATAAAACCTTAAACAGTAACGGTCGAGTGTAGCGGAAAGTGCACTCACTTGAAATAGATAGGTGGAGAAGAACGTCATCAGCATCGCTGTTATAGATAGGACCAAGAACAGGTCCTGAAATCTAGAACAAAGTTTTTATCCTCTATAAAACTGGTTCAATCATAGTTCAAATATTGAATTAGAGTATATTTTGCTCCATTTTTTTATCACTAGTTACGAACGTGAACGAGCTCGCAGCCTACCAGGTAGGTGTTAAGTGGTTGCCAGAGTGCATAGACATTACAACGTTAATGCTGCCATCTACCTTAAGAAATGAGATCTAAGTCTCAATTGTAGAGTATAAATGTCCTACCCTTGAAATCGGAACGCTTTAATGCTTCGTTGCAGAAATGGGCAAGGCGGTAGGACCTGTGATGCTCGACTTCTGCGAGTCCACCATATCGCAGAAGGAAGCGGCGGCGCGAGAGAGGGAGAGCTCATCCCTTTCGGCACCGATCCGTCGCCGTCGAGTCGGGGGCCGGAGGAGGGAATACGCCCGTACGTCCCGGCCCCTGTAGATGGCGGCTTCCCCCGGTGAAGGTCAAGGTACGACCTGAGGGGGTAGAGGCCGCGCGGCGCGCTACCAGCACTCTAGCGCGCTGCCAAGGAGACACGAAAGAGCGACCGGTTGGCGGTGTATCGCGTCCCGACCCGGCAGGCTGGTTCTGGTCCAGCGAGGTATTCTGGGACACCAGCGGCACCGTCTGGGCGGCCTGACGGGCTGCCATGCTGAGACGGCCGACGTTTCAGAGCCTTCGATTCGCCTCGAAGGCTCCGTCGGCTGGGCGTCCTTGGGGTGACCCGCGCCGTCTGGTTGTAATGTTGACCGCGGTAATCCACCTATCTCATCCGGGTTCTGACCTCGGAGGGGATCGGACGCTTGGGCGAAGAGTGCAGGGGGGTTGTTTAATGGGTGGGCCCTAAAACACCTTGGGCCCGCGGTCTGCTCTCAACACCTGCAGATCGTTGTGCCCCACATACCCCGCGCGCCCCCTAGGCGCGGGGACCTCGTAGGAGGTTCGGCCCCCGGTCCGGAAAAAATAAAAAATAAAAAAGATGGTAGGACCCACCCTTGTGAACTCAGAAGACTCCCTAGTAAAGTTAAAATTGTATTTTGCGTATAATAGCCGGCAAACTTCTTGAGTATTTGTTGACGTAGTGGGGGTAAGTTTGCGCATGGTACACTCACGTGCAAAAACATTATTTACTCTGCGTCATAATGCAATTAAATTATTAAAATCAACATATGTATTTATTTATATATTTATTAGAACATCAACAAAAAATATAGGTTAATAATTGTAATAATTTAATCTTGGGGTAANCGGCAATGCCTTGCAATTAGGCGCAGGTACAAATTCCGAGAAACACTTGGGCCACAGATGTGCCACGAACAATGATCTATTATCACCGGTAGTCACTTCCGACAAAACACTTGGACGCCAGATGTGCCACGAACCGAGGTCGGGCGATCGAACGAACAATGAGCACGTCCACGCGCGTCGGTTGCTCAAATCGGAATGAAGATCACAGCAGTGGTAGAGACCGACAGAATAGCTTCAGTTACATACATAAATAACCTTGAATAACATGTTATTGTTGTTTCCATTTCACCCTGTCACCCTGCTTGCACATTGGCATCATTATTTAACTTGAAGATTTAATTTGTACTTTCACCAAGCCCTCCTTCATTATGCTCTCTATATGAACTCTTCCCTCTGTCTTAATCTCTACGCGGTTTCTCTGATTCTTTGTACTTATTATCTATCTATATTTATAAAAATGAATTGCTGTTCGTTAGTCTCGCTGAAACTCGAGAACTGCTGGACCGATTTGGCTAATTTTGGTCTTGAATGATTTGTGGAAGTCCAGAGAAGGTTTAAAAGGTAAAAAATTTGAAAATGCTCGGTATTAAATAAAAATAATAATTTTGTTTTTCCTTTGTCCCCCGTCGGATGGATTCCTTTTGTTTTTTTAAATTTATTTTATACAAAAGCTTAGGTCTTTTATTTATCGATTGAGGCACTACAAAGTCTGCCGGGTCAGCTAGTTCATAATAATTATGAAAGGCATACACACCATACAGACAAGTCGAAAAGGTCGACTACGTCGCTTAGACATGAGAAGAACGTGCTTAAGTAAGTAGTACCTTCTCGCAACACCAGCATATAAGTATTTCTTAAGAAAAAGGCTGATACTAGGTACTGGCATACGACGATCGAGAAGAAATTGCAAGAGTTCGAGAATGCTAGAGATACACAGAACTGCACATTAATTACTATGTAAAATAAGGATCTTGCTGAGTTCATACACCCTTAGTACTGCATACTTACATGAATAATACAAGAAGTGCATCCTTAGTTCTCGGAAATAAACTCACACAATTAAATATTAAGTCGCAAAACATGAAAATAAACTGAATAATTATACATATCGTGTATTTTGGCGTAGAAAGCTTCATTTTATTCGAATGTCTTATGCGAACGTAAATATTATAACTCAAATCGACCGCAATAAAGCACTCACACGGAATGACGTCACGAATCAATATTTTAAATGTCCGTATTGGTTGTTGCAACACCTGTTGTCTATGTTAACGAAAGCTTGGCTATTCTACAGTTTGGCCTAAAGGTCCAGGCCAAAAAAAAAATATTCTACAGTTGTGCGGTATTGGAAGTTATAGTTTTTTTTTCTTTTTATAATTTTAACATGTCACGTTTTTCTAAATAATATGAATAAATAATGATTTGTAATAATAAATAGAAGATAAATAAGTTCCTATAAATAAAGGTCCTTTTCAAACACACTTATATTGAATTTTACTGATAACATTTTGTGAGATTTTGTCATTTTGTGAGATTTTCACTCTATGCTTAAGAAAAATCATTTAAATTTAAATTGTAAACGTTTAAAACCCACGGAAATTCCGTATTTTTTATTAAAAAACTGTAAGCTGTAACTCAGTAAAACTGAGACAATATGTCCAATTTTGTTCGCATGGCGGGACAAAGTTACCCAGATTGATGGTAAGTAAACTATACAAACCACAGACAGGTGTATTAACTATGTGACAGACCAAGTAAATTTTAGGCTAAATCTCTCAAATATATTAAGTCTATAATCTATCATCTTCATTTCATTTCACTTCATAATATCATTTTTCATAAAAATATGAATATAAATTAAAATAAGACATGACTTAAAGGTCTCAGTTACCAGGTCATAAAATCACTTAAAAAAAATATATTTAGACCTACCTACTCGTAAACATTGTAGTACGTATACATTACGTTTCTCAAATATATTAAGTGTACATTTATGTATTAATATAAAGAATCAATTTACAAATCTTCGTTTGCAATTGGTTTTAGTTGATAGGACTATTTCTAGGATTCAATAAAAAGTGAAAAAATATAATCTTGTGGTTATATCTAACGTATATAAAGTAAAATGGGTAGTGATCGCCACCACAGTCCTGAGCGGTTTCGCAGTAGGAGTCACGAGAGACGTCGCAGTCGTGATCGTCGTGATCGGAGTAAAGATCGAAGGAGAAACTGTAGTAGAGAGAGAAGTAAGGATAGAACAGAAAGGCATAGAGACAAGTACAAAGAACCAGAGAGACCGCGTAGAGATTATGACAGAGGGAAGAGTTCATATAGAGAGCATAATGGAGGAGGGCTTGGTGGAGGTAAAAGTTAAATACTCTTAGATTATTGTGATTATATTTTTTACACAATGGTAGGGACTGACCGTCAGTTAGCTACCTTAGATATATTTGGAGCGTACGAAAAGGGATCTTAATAAAACTACATGTATTTAGCCCGTCCAGTTACCTACTGTTTAATTCTTTAATTTTTGGTTTGGAAATGGATGTAATTGACCTTATATACTATATCATAATCACATATTATCTGTGGCCTTGGAGATGAGAAGCCGGGTGCACCCATTGTGTAATGAGGATGAGATAGAAGGTCAGAGTAGCAATTACAAAACACCTCACTTTTTTCTATAAATTATTTTCACTGTGAAAGAATAACTTAGTGGAATAAAAATTAAATTTCAGAATTTATTAATTGGGACGAATACTTATGATAGGTTGTACTGTGAACATGTATAAAAATATGATATGAGTTGTTTTGAATGGTAGTACTGCTATTGTATAGATTTATTTGAAACATCAATCATATGATTGAGGTATGTAAGCAGCACCAATCAGTAGTTTGTAATGTCTGGACTCTAATAACCTTACACGATTATGATATATCTTCTCATGGATTTGTCAATCTTATGCTCGTATGCTTAGAATCCTATGAGCCTTTGCAAACCAGTTAGGTAGCAGATGGGCAACAGCTCTGTTACCACACACTATCAGATGAGCTGTATAATCATCCGCCTACAGAGTAAATTTTTTTCATAAAAATGAAAATTTGTTTTACTCTTTATGTTTTTAGGTCTTGGTGGTGGTCCTGGACCCAGAGGTCGGTATAAACCTCAGGAAGAAGAATTTTTGGATGCAAGGCGAGAGGAGCGAGAACGAATAGGCACACTTGGAGTTTCAGCTATATGGGGCAAGTCACCCACAAGGCCTGATGAGTAACTAAACATTTCCTTTTTATTTTATTTAACCTAGTATTATCATATCAAGACAGGGTGCTCATGATATGGAAATTTGTTGGATTGATTGGGATGGTCAACGATAAAAACTCACAGACATAAAACCTTTTGATATTTTTGTACATGTAGTTTTATTAAAGTTATTACGTTTGATAAATGTGATATGCAATAGCTAAGTTTAAGTACTAATGTCTACTTGCCCCAATGCTCAAATGAAATTAATTTCTCTTAGTACTTCATATGTATAACTTGACTGGTTTCCCATTGTAATTACAGTACAGAAGATGAACAACCTACAAAGCAAGACAGTTCTGATCACAAACATAAAAAAAAGAGCAAGAAATCAAAAGATTCCAAAGACAACACAAAGGAGAAAGTAAAAAAACTCAAAAAAAAGCTCAAAAAGATGAAAAAGGCTCGAAAGAAAGCTAAAAAAAAATCAAAAGGTTCCAGCAGTGACTCTAGTACAAGTGAAGAAGAGATATGGGTGGAAAAAGGAAGTAAGCTATAGTATAAAAATATATTATTAATATAAGATTATATAATTAAAATTTATTATAATTTAAATACCCTCACAAGCCACCTAAAACTGTATTTATCCACCTAATAGTAATTCAAAGTATCAGTTGCATAGAAATAATGGCTGACTCTACTTATCTGGATCTGGAAGAACAGTATAGATAAGATTAGAATAGAATAGAATTATAGGAGCATAGCAGCTCAAAGGGATATTTGTTTAATAATAGCCATGACGAACTATCCTCACGTTAATCCAAATGAATATAAACTATACTGAATATACGTAATAACTTTGGCTCTATTATATTTATACTAACAATACTATAACAATTCTCTTTGTTCCCAATCACAGAAGAGCATGAAGTTCAACAGGCACAATCAAAACTATGTAAAGACAATGAAGAATTATCTTCGGAGATCATTGGTCCAGAGGCTCGTGCGATCGGCAGTGGAGCTCTCAGTGTTAGGGAGCTTGGTGGTGCTCTACTACCTGGAGAAGGTGCTGCCATGGCTGCTTTTGTGGCAGACGGAAAGAGAATTCCACGCAGAGGAGAAATTGGACTTACATCTGATGAAATTGCCTCCTATGAAGCTGTTGGATATGTCATGAGTGGGAGCAGGTATCTGTTATTTGTATCATTTAACTATAATGGAGTATAATAGGTTAACCTTGGGTGGCCGTGAGCACTTTCACCCGTCAATGCATTGAAAACAAAGTTATAACAATAAGAACAAAAAAAAAAAATATTAAGCCACACTTCTATTATCACTCTTGACTTCAATACTTTCTATAATTTTTGCTATGGTAGAGATGTAAAGTGTACATTATTCTTCAGACATCGACGCATGGAAGCAGTACGTATCCGCAAAGAGAACCAGATCTACTCGGCTGATGAGAAGCGCGCCCTCGCCGCATTTAGCAAGGACGAAAGGAACAAACGGGAAAACGCTATCCTTAGCCAGTTTAGAGATGTCCTCAAAGCCAGACAAAAACGAGAAACTTAGTACGAATAAATATCTTGTGCCCCAGCAGAGACACCACTCAATCAGGGTATAACCCGTTTGAAGATGGTACGCCGTTACATTATTGGGTTGCAATAACCTTTTCATCTGTAACAAAGTACACAACGAGGACTGAAATCAACCTTTTAATTAATATTTTGTGACAGGTTATATGCGTTTCTTTGTTGAAAATTCCACATTCTACCAGGTGGTATCATCACCTCTATTCGTTTAGTACAGTAAAAAAATCTCAATAAAAAAAATCTTCTCATTTATCAATAAAACTAACTATTATACCTTTGCTACAATTAAACTAATATGTATAATAAAGCAAATCAGCACATTTAAAATTATGAGCCTTAATGTAAATCTATTGAGAGGAAGTGTGAAAGTGGCCCCGGTAATCAACAAATTAAGGAGCGGACGGTTAGCGTGGTATGGACATGTGATGCGTAGAGAGAAGATGCATGTGACTAGGAGATGTATGGAAATGGTAGTGCAAGGTAGAGGGGGAAGAGGTCGACCAAAGAAGACATGGATGGAGTGTGTGAATGACGATATGAGAGAGAGAGGAGTGAGTGTTGAGATGACGGCTGATAGAAGAGAATGGAAGAGAAAAATTAGCTGTGCCGACCCCACGTAGTGGGATAAGGTGGAGAAAAAGAAAAAAAGAATGTAAATCTATTATATTATTATTATAATATATACTATTTCTATCATGAAGCAGTAATGCGTTTCGGTTTGATGGGCGGGGGAGCCGTTATAACTATACTGAGATCTCAGAACTTATATCTCAAGGTGGATGGCGCATTTACGTTGTGGATGTCTATGGGCTCCAGTAACCACTTAACACCAGGTGGGCTGTGAGCTCGTCCACCCATCTAAGCAATAAAAAAAAAACTGGAAATAAAATATGATTTTTATAAAAATATTTATTGACAACAACTTAGTCACTATTATTTGTTTCAACTTAACATATTATGTATTTACAAATATTACAAATTAATTTAAATAAATTCCCTACGAAAATCTTACACTAATTATTTTTATCTTTGAGATATAAACAGTGAAAATGCCATTCAGAAAAATGTTATTAAACTATTCTATACTTAAAAAAAGGGTTCTGAAGTCTTCAAAAACAAACTGCTAACCAAAAAGGTACAATAAGCCTTTTGTACTAGAGGTGAATATTGGACCCGGCAATAAGGGTCTCGGTGAGGAAGTGGTGACAGGTTGTTTAAAAATAAAATAATAATTAACTATTTCTCTACAAAAAGAAATAAAAAGGTATGAGATTATGCATGATATGATACCTATACATATTTTCATTTTGTGTATACCCTGTTACATTTTTCAATGAATAAATTGATTTATCTAATATTTATTTCGGGAAATAAGTTTATACAATATGTACATTAAATTATTGTGATGTTTGGAATAAAAATAGTGAATATTTGTGCCGGTGTTTAATCTAGAAGTTCACGAAGTAGCCAGGATTACAATACCTAGGTAAGCTTTGCTATGTATGCAGACCTATACCTTCCTTAATGAGTCTTTCTGGTGTCCATTGTCAAGTTATATGTAGACCTAAGAGCCGTTAGTGTGGGTAGTAGGGTGTGGGTGTGTGTGTGTGTGTGGTCGGAGTCCGTTAGTGTGGCCCAGCTCTACTGTGTCGGAGTGCGGAATCCGTTAGTGTGGGCCAGCTCGACTGTCGGAGTGCGGAGTCCGTTAGTGCGGGCCCGCTCGACTGTGTCAGAGTGCGGAGTCCGCGAGTCTGGGCCCGCTCGAGTGTCGGCGTGCGGAGTCCGTTAGTGCGGGCCCGCGCGACTGTGTCAGAGTGCGGAGTCCGCGAGTGTGGGCCCGCTCGAGTGTCGGCGTGCAGGCGCAGCAGGTGTGGGGCCGCAGCACTGAGTGAGGGCCCGCCAGTGTAGGGCCGCTAGGTGTGGTGTCGTTCGCAGTGTCGAAGGGTGTCGGTGAGGTCTCGCAGCAAGGTGGCGGCGGCGTGCAAGGCGGCCCGCAGTACCGCCGGCTGGGTGCTGCAGGCGGCTAGTTCGGCTCGCCTAGCGCCCTCAGCCGCGTGTCGCCACACAGAGCCGCCGGTGCCTGTCTCCAGTTCACTACTGCCAGTTTCCTGCGAAGAGTGGACCACAGTTTCTATTATAAAAAAATCGATATTTTTTTATTTATTGTTCAATATTAGGTTAACACATATACTCGTATGCTATAATAGATATATTCTAATTGAAAATTAAACTCACAGCAATATTAGTGACGTCACTTTTGTTCTGCACAGTATTGTTATTGTTCTTGACATTGGCGATGAGTTTCTTGAAATTGTTTTTGTTCATGATGATCTTGACAGCAGGTCGACCTGCCTCCGAAGATACTTTCGGTTTATTCTTCACTGGAATGACTTTTGATGGAGATATGATTTTTGCATTCGGGGGCAGTTGGACAAACTTCACCTGGAACGGCAATGGTCGATCGGTTCGCAGGGAGAGAGAGAGATCGAGAAGTGGGAATACAAATTGTCAAAAAATGGAGTTATAAAAAAACTAACCTGCATATCATGAGGATTAATAATTTTCTTGATAGGGATTTTGTTGTTGACCATCTTGTTGAAGGTGAAGATCTTAACTCCCGGGGCCGGCGGCGACTTGACAGGAGTAGCAGTCAGCAGCACGCCTGAGCTACTATTGGCTGGCTTTGACCCTCCAAAGGGTTGGTTTTGGGGCTCCGTGCTTTCTTTCAGCATTAGCTTACCGGCATCTGAGGATATCAAAAGGTGAATATGGCGTCACAGAGGAAAGGTGTCAATGCTGGTGCATATCGGACAGTACGAGGGTCCGCCCGCTCTGCAGCGCGGTGAGCAGCGTGGAGCCGCGGCACTAGGGGGGGGGAGAGGTGTCAGTGCCGGTACATACCGGACAGTACGAGGGTCCGCCCGCCCTGCAGCGCGGTGAGCAGCGGGAGCCGCGGCACTAGGGGGGGGGAGAGGTGTCAGTGCCGGTACATACCGGACAGTACGAGGGTCCGCCCGCTCTGCAGCGCGGTGAGCAGCGGGAGCCGCGGCACTAGGGGGGGGGAGAGGTGTCAGTGCCGGTACATACCGGACAGTACGAGGGTCCGCCCGCTCTGCAGCGCGGTGAGCAGCGGGAGCCGCGGCACTAGGGGGGGGGAGAGGTGTCAGTGCCGGTACATACCGGACAGTACGAGGGTCCGCCCGCTCTGCAGCGCGGTGAGCAGCGGGAGCCGCGGCACTAGGGGGGGGGAGAGGTGTCAGTGCCGGTACATACCGGACAGTACGAGGGTCCGCCCGCTCTGCAGCGCGGTGAGCAGCGGGAGCCGCGGCACTAGGGGGGGGGAGAGGTGTCAGTGCCGGTACATACCGGACAGTACGAGGGTCCGCCCGCTCTGCAGCGCGGTGAGCAGCGGGAGCCGCGGCACTAGGGGGGGGGAGAGGTGTCAGTGCCGGTACATACCGGACAGTACGAGGGTCCGCCCGCTCTGCAGCGCGGTGAGAGCCGCGGCACTAGGGGGGGGAGAGGTGTCAGTGCCGGTACATACCGGACAGTACGAGGGTCCGCCCGCTCTGCAGCGCGGTGAGCAGCGTGGAGCCGCGGTCTGGCGGGAGGGGCGCGATGCCGTGCGCACGCAGTATGGCCGCAGCTACACTGCGTCTGTTCTCCGTGCTGTTCTGTGAATCAAGTCATCAAGGTTAGGAAGTGGTCGAAAAGTATCTCTCTGGGAGTTACATTGTCAACTCGCTCCACAAATCCGACATAAATTTTTTTTATCTCCATGAGCCTGATAGCTAAATCTGGTTTAAGGTGTAAAGGGGAAGGCAGACCTTCTACTTGAGCTCTTCGTCTCCAACTCGACTATGGACGACGGACGAGCCACCTACGTAGTGATAATCCCCTGCATCAATTTCGAATTCACGTAGCTATAAAAACCCCAGAGTTTCGCATTTGGATCTCCAGTGGTTGGGGCGACTCAATTAAGTACAATCTAAACGCAGCGGCGCTCTGGTNGATAGGGATTTTGTTGTTGACCATCTTGTTGAAGGTGAAGATCTTAACTCCCGGGGCCGGCGGCGACTTGACAGGAGTAGCAGTCAGCAGCACGCCTGAGCTACTATTGGCTGGCTTTGACCCTCCAAAGGGTTGGTTTTGGGGCTCCGTGCTTTCTTTCAGCATTAGCTTACCGGCATCTGAGGATATCAAAAGGTGAATATGGCGTCACAGAGGAAAGGTGTCAATGCTGGTACATACCGGACAGTACGAGGGTCCGCCCGCTCTGCAGCGCGGTGAGCAGCGTGGAGCCGCGGCACTAGGGGGGGGAGAGGTGTCAGTGCCGGTACATACCGGACAGTACGAGGGTCCGCCCGCTCTGCAGCGCGGTGAGCAGCGTGGAGCCGCGGCACTAGGGGGGGGAGGTGTCAGTGCCGGTACATACCGGACAGTACGAGGGTCCGCCCGCTCTGCAGCGCGGTGAGAGCCGCGGCACTAGGGGGGGGAGAGGTGTCAGTGCCGGTACATACCGGACAGTACGAGGGTCCGCCCGCTCTGCAGCGCGGTGAGCAGCGTGGAGCCGCGGTCTGGCGGGAGGGGCGCGATGCCGTGCGCACGCAGTATGGCCGCAGCTACACTGCGTCTGTTCTCCGTGCTGTTCTGTGAATCAAGTCATCAAGGTTAGGAAGTGGTCGAAAAGTATCTCTCTGGGAGTTACATTGTCAACTCGCTCCACAAATCCGACATAAATTTTTTTTATCTCCATGAGCCTGATAGCTAAATCTGGTTTAAGGTGTAAAGGGGAAGGCAGACCTTCTACTTGAGCTCTTCGTCTCCAACTCGACTATGGACGACGGACGAGCCACCTACGTAGTGATAATCCCCTGCATCAATTTCGAATTCACGTAGCTATAAAAACCCCAGAGTTTCGCATTTGGATCTCCAGTGGTTGGGGCGACTCAATTAAGTACAATCTAAACGCAGCGGCGCTCTGGTGCCCCTGTGGGGTGGTCCAATGGCCCACTTCCCGGGTGCTGTGCGGGCTGCCAGGTGACCAGTAACCGACAGTACGGCTTCCGTCCGCGAGCTGGCGACCTCCGCTGCGCTGTTTATTGATGACGGGGGCATTAAGTACGGTTCAGGAGATAGTAAGCATTTGCGTTAACCAGAACTCTTTAGGTCGGGTCTCCAGCTGGCTATTGTATAGACAACCCTGGGAACTTGGGGAAACACCGAAATTCTGTCTTTTCTCTTGCTGGGAGTGACATTCAGTAGCGGACTCACTTCTAAGGTTCTTAATATAATATTATGTACACATAAGGTGTTAATTGCTCGGGGCACGTGCAAGTTTCCCGAGCCTGTGTTACAAGTTATCCCGGTCACCTCTACGTTATCCCTGTTATCTATTTCGATCTTGATTGGCTGTTCCTGCGGGGCGCGCTCCTCGCCTCTGCCGCTGTCGCTGCGCCCCGGGATGTCTGAAATAGATTAACAGCTTTGGAATGGATTCATCTATGACCTCGTGTCGGTTGTAGTTCAGTTAGTTGGTCTCGCGGGCCCGGCGCTGGAGCAGCTGCAGACGTCCAGCTCGAGAGTGATCGGAAGCAGCATGCAGGGGTGCCGCGGGTCGACGCATGCTAATGCTGGAGCGCCGCGGAGCAAATTATTTCGCAGAAGAGGTACAGTAAATAAACTATTTAGAAATATATATGTTTCCTCGCCGCCACACGACTGACTTACTTTGGACCGGGTCGAAGTTTATCTGTGGCTGCGCGTCTTGATCCACTGACATGCTTTGTTCTGCAACAAGAACATAATTAAAGTATACTTGGATGGAGATGGATGTATATATGGAATTTATACGACATTGCTTGGTTTTGGTTGGGACCAACGTGTTTTATTCTACTGATAGAGATTTTTGCCAAATCTACTCTGCTCCGGGCCCGCGGCCGCCTCGCCGCGTGGGTGTCACGGTTGTCACAGAAACAATGATGTAATAATTTTCTTTGTCGTACTCAATATCATATATTAGGAATATAAGTACTCGTACAGTGTACAAATCTTAAATATAAGTGTAGAGCGTCTAATAGATGTTGTAATTACACGACAAATCCTACAGTTGAAGACAGTGTTGTTCGGTATCTACGAGCAAGTGTATGGGAGCAGTGCGTACCGGTGACGAGCGCGTCCACGGAGTGCGCGGCCTCCCGCTGCTTGAGCGCGTCCTCGATGAGCGCGAGGATGTCGGCGCGGCTGTCGGCGCGGCTGGCGGCGGCGGCCAGCGACAGCGGCGACTTGTGGAACTTGGACAGCGCCGTGGGGTCCGCGCCGCCCCGCACCAGCTCGGCCGCCGCGCCCCCGTGCCCGCGCTGCACCGCCCAGTGCAGCGGCGTCATGCGCAGCATGTCCCTGCGCAGCCCGCCCACTCGTTATGTGCCCTATGAACTGCGGCAACTCGTTTACCCGCGTGAGAATTACAGACCAGCCATTGATCTGAAAATGCGACATCGCGCTCGAAGGTTCAGGATTTCGATAGCCATTATTGGTATCAATCTCCAACTGAGTGACCGTTAAGCACAAGTGGGTTTTGATGTCAATAAAAATTTATAAATTTAAAAGGGGTTAAAGAATAAAATTGCCGTTTTATTGTAATAGGTACTTCGAATTGACATAGAACCTTCATGGTTCGAGATTTCTGAGTGAAACTTTTTTCAAATGGTACCTATGATGTATAGGATGTATATGTAGGTGATTTTTTAATACGAGTTCCGACGCGAAACTAACGCTCCAGAAACAGCTCGCAATATCCATGTTGCGTTTGGAGGTGATTTTGGTTTAAACGCTTTCGTGATGGAAATTTTGATTTGAAGAACGAACCACGTGGAAGACCGCCCCTACAATTAATGTAAATTACAATGAATTAAAAGAGATGGTGGAAGCCGATCGGAGCCAATTTACCCAGATATTAGCGACATAGTTTAACATTACCTTACCACCAATATTGACTCATTTATGTCAAATCAATAAAAATAAAAATAATGGGTGCATCATGATTTGACTGATCTGCAGAAAGAAACGCGTGTTGAAACTTGTGTTGCCTTGTTAAATCGATACAGAAATGAAGGAATATTGGATCGAATTGTGACATGTGATGAAAAGTGGATTCTTTACGATAACCGTAAGCGAAAAATGCAATGGGTGACCCCAGGTCAAAGGCCGCAACAGTGTCCTAAAGCAAAGCTTACCAATAAAAAGGTAATGGTAACTATTTGGTGGTTTCAGCATGGTTATTATGGTTATTGGTTACTTTACTATAGCTTTCTCCGATCTGGCCAAGCAATAACGGCAAAAGTCTACAGTGCCGAACTCAGAACAATGATAACAAAACTTGCAGAGAAACAGCCCCGACTCATGATTCGATCTTCACTATTATTGCTCCATGATAACGCGAGACCTCATACAGCACGAGAAACCGTTTTAACTCTACAGGAACTGCAATTAAGAAACCATTCGTATTCGCCAGACCTTGTTCCAACGGACTACCATTTTTTTCGTGATTTGGACAATTTTCTACGTTATAAAAGTTTTTTTCCTGGAAGGCAGTACAAAATTTTCACACAGTTTGTAGAATCTAGATCACCAGATTTCTATCGCAAGGGCATAAATGACCTTCCTATTATATGGCAGCAATGTATAGATAATAATGGTAGGTAGTTTAATTAAATAAATATATCAAATGGAAAAAGAACGAATTTCAATTTTTCAGTGCAAATCGGCAATTTCATACTTTAACCCCTAATATTGATTTTGTTGAGCAACGGACCTTTCGAATTAAAGGAACATTTATAATTAACTACTATATGTAATATATTTGCTACACGCGCCGAACATAACAACACGATGAATCTTTGGGCCGCGAGGACACTTGACCATCACAGTACCTAGGTCAGAAAATCCAGGGGCTACAAAATCTACAGTCATTAATCGCTCATATCTTATATCTTTAAACGAGCAATTCTTGTATACATATATAATCTGAATCTCGGAAACGGCTCCAACGATTTTCATAAAATTTAGTATACAGGGGATTTCGGGGGCGATAAATCGATCTAGCTACGATTTATTTTCAGAAAATGTTGTATTGTTCGTGTTTTCAATAATCAACTTTATCCATAATGAACTTTATGACTCTTTCCGACATCTATTGGCGAATAGTAATACTATTTTTCTTAATTGAAAGCGACTAACTGCTTTAAAGACACAACAAGATAGCGTTATAAAAAAAAAAACCTCTGTGAAAAGCTCGGTCATCATCTAGTTACATCCAATACTAGTTCGTACCGCGGTCTCCCCGTCCTCCCCGGCCTCCATTACTGCTGCTTGTAACTTTGGTGTACATACAATTGGGCAGATTATCTGAGGCCAGTGACGTAACTGTGATGGAGCACGGACCTGCAGTCGACCTGGGCGCCGTAGCGCAGCAGCAGCGCGATGACGTCGGCGTGGCCCGCGTAGGCGGCCAGGTGCAGCGGCGTGCGGTCCACCTTGGTGCGCGAGTCCCGCGACACGCCCGCGCGCAGCAGCACCGCGCACGTCTCCACGTGGTTGTTGCTGGCCGCCAGGTGCAGCGGGGACGTGCCTAGCTGCACGGGAAGTCTTTGTCTGTCTAGGGGCACCGGCAAACGGCTAGCCCACCGAGCGGCACTATTCCTCGGCGGGACTACGTGTGTGCGATCTAATGTTGTCGTTCGAGACTTGCATACACAGGAATAGTTTGAAAGTGCCAGAAAAAATAAGTTTCTAGTACTTGGTATATACATGATCACTGGCAACACACACACTATACAATACAATTCACACTTCTTACTTTTAAGATGGTTTTGAAAGGATATGTTTAGGTTAGGATATGTCAGTGTCGCGCAGCGATCTATGTAGATGTTTATGCTTGGTATTTCCCTACGAGACCGAGTCAGAAATGAGGAGATCCGTAGAAGAACCAAAGTTGCTGAGAGAGCCCGTAGGGTTAGTAAGCTGAAACGGCAGTGGGCAGGCCACATAACGCGAAGATCGGATGGCAAGCGCAGTGTGGGTCGACCATATATCAGATCGATCGACGACGTAGTGAAAATCGCTGGGTCACGTTGGGTGCAGGTGGCCCGGCCGCACTGGAGAGAGACCTATGTTCAGCAGTAGACAGCTATAGGTTGAGATGATGATGATGATGATTTTGTATGTCCATTATTTTCCGTATATTCCGTAATTTCGTGAAACCTTGACTTTGCTGTTACGAAATAAATAAAAATTTGACTGTACATTCTTGATGATGGGCTTCGTCTGCGTAGGCCGGTATTTTTTTTCTGGTACTTTAAAATATTCCTGATAGAAGCTTATTTTGAATTTGTCATCAGCGCGGTTCGTGTTTTGGCTGTATTATATTTGATTATTCCGTTCGCTACAACGACAAGTAATAGCAAACTCACCCAGTCAGTAGTAAAGGGTGCACCTTTGGCCATGAGTTCTAGTACAGTAGTAGTGTCGCCCCCCCGCGCCGCCACCAGCAGCCGTCGCCCCAGCTCGGCCCCGGCCCCCGCCCCCCCACGCCCGGACCCCCCCGAGCCCGCTGTCACACCCGTCACACCAGAACGGACTACTGTATCGCCCACCGGACACTGAAATGAGAAAAGCCTTATAGTGAAGGTTGATAGCGTTTGAATTTCCCAGCAGAGTGAGAGAGCATTACGGCTACCGAGGACGTCAATGTCTACGTGCGTTAATTCTAGATTATATGCTATAACTAATTATTATTTACTAAGCCAAATGGTTAGATTAAAGACGACACGGGTCACACAAGTGGACGGTCATTTACGCTGCCACATACGGGTGTCTTCTGTGTTAACTGCAGAAGTGTAGTGTGACATTGAAACTCATTTACCTTACAATAATTATAGTTTATTTTAAGATCCTATTTATCTACATCTAATCAGAAGTGAGTCCTCGGGTATTGTAATTTCTTTATCATCTACGTGGTATCTATTGCTATTATCACCCCCCATGTATCTCTTGGGGTGAGTACCGTATGGTAGGGAGTGTATTGGACAAACTTGTTGTTATTAAAATTTTGCGTTTTTTTATGGCTTAGATGGGTGGACGAGCTCACGGCCCACCTGGCTACCGGAGCCCATAGACCTGACCAGGTAAATACCGCCACCCACTTTGAGATATGAGTTCTAAGTCTCAGTTCTATAGTACAACGGCTGCCCTTCAAACCGTAACGCATTGCTTCAGTAGGCAGGGTGATGGTACCTAATTATGCGGACTCAAGACGCCCAGTAATTACGCATTTTTTTCTTTTAATATATTCCTTTAAAATAATTTAGTAATATGTAACCTCATCATCCGGTAGGCCATATACTCGTCTGCCTACAAGAGCAATAAAAAAAAACTATAATTGGGCAAAAGATTTTGACTTACTGTGGTAATAATTTGTGGACTAGTCAACTGCACGACTACATCTTCGGTGGTTAAATTTGTGGCCATCATTCTTCATCTGAAAAAATCTTTAATCTTTACTACTTTACATAAAACTACAACAACAAATGGGAGAATTCAGATAATTGGTATATTAACATAATTCGCTTAGTGTATCGTTGAACTTGTCCCATCATTATATATTATTAATAATACTATTGCTTATTATATTCTTAGTCTTATTACCATACCTTTAGTATTACTTAGATCTCTCCCTCCCTTCATATTTCGAAGGCAATATAGCTTCTTGGCAGAAATAGGCAGGTTGTTGGTGCCAATTAGTGCAAGCTCATAATATCCTATACCATTATTAACACCAGTAAATGTGTTATGTGTATACCGATACTCTGATGATGCTCTGAGCTGCCCTTTATAACAGCCTCAGGCAGAAATTGGGTGATATCATTCTAAACTAATAACCAAAAAAATTGTTGGAGGCTATTATTTATGAATTGAATTGATACAAAGCTCAGGTGAAATAAATTTGCACAGGAAAATATTATCCAACTCCAAGGAATATTTGATTTTGTTGAAAATCATAATCTTCTGTTTTAAAATGTTTAAAAATACTGTTTGATTAAGTACAACAAACTTAATTCAAGCAGGTATCATTGCGAAAATATCAGCTACAGGAGAAAATTTTGGTATTTATTGTGATATACACGCAGTACCCGTACACTTGTTTTGATGACCAGAGGAACATAGTGAGGCTACAATAGAATAGTTATAGTTCAGTTACTAAATGTTTTAATTACTTCACATTTCATACTATTATAGCTAAAAGATAATTGATTTCAAAAGCAAGATAAATTCTTACTTCTTCTTATAAATTAATTTTTAACATTAATAAAACCCATTAAAGCCTGTTTTAAATCATAAAATACTATGCCCATTAATGCTATTATTGCAAGTTATTTGCAAGTTAAATTAGCCCTATTTTGCAAGTTAAATTTGATTGATAATTTATTAAATATCTCTTTAATATTTGTGTGGTTGTGTGCACATAATAGTACATACTGTAGTTTGTTGCGTTTCATTTATTTCCAATCTGTTTCAGTGTCCACCTACACACATATACATTGATAAGCTAATAATTACTTCGTTTATTTAGAGTATAATCATTAGTAAATTTTGCATTTTTCAGGTTCTTCAGATTGTTTCTAACTTTAGTTTTCTAATTTACTTAATTTTTTATACAAATATGGTTTCTGACACGTTGTTTTTAAACACAATTGTAAATATTTAGTCTTAGTTAAATTGACTACCTACTCTGAAAATCATTAACAAAGTTTTATTAGGTAGGTTGCAATTGGCGCTTTTTTATATTTTATTGATCGAAACGACAGGATGAGGATGTAAAAAGTTCTACGGTGCCATGCTTTTCGACAACCATAACACACTTCCTTTTCCTGTCAAAACGGAAGTCTCCAATTTTATATTCGACAATATTGGCTGCAAGTAAAACATATTTGGCTTACCAGTTTGACGCCTTCTATAGTGAATTAAATGTAATTAATTATAGCCACATACTAAATTTTTTACCAAAAAGTACAAACGTCAACAAATTTCCATATATTTATGTGAAAGAAACCATCTTTTAACTACCGCGAAAATAAACGTCAAAGTCATTTTGACAGCGAATTGAATTTAGTATTTGTATTCATCAGTTAATATCATCAGACTAATAGAACGGCTATGACAAAATAACAATACATTTTGTCCTTACTCCGTTAAAGCTGTACACACATAAATGTTTAATGTTACTTTAGGTTTTTTTAGGTTATGAAGCTTGCTTTAATGTTGGCATGTCTGTTAAGGGCCGTTCAAGAAAACCATAGTATGTACCTACTAAGTTCGAATAGACCTTATGTCATGTTGGATCTAATCGTTAAATATTCATTTACAAACTATGAATAATAATTTGTTTGGCTTGCCACAACGGACAATAGACATATTTTCTAGACATATTTTCATTATACTAGTTCAAGCCCGTCACTTTAATGTTTTTATAGGGATTTTATGACCTGGTAACTAAGACCTTTAAGTCAAGTCTTATTATAATTGTAATGAAAGCTGTTGTATGTATAATATGATAAATAATATTATGAAATTAAATGAAGTTGATTAATATGATACATTGCATGAAAATCTTACAATAAAATTCGCATGTCAAATAATGACAAAGCATTCACGCTGGTTTTAACTTATGTATTATCTCATTTTCACTATGCTTAGCGAATAAATGATTTCTTTCTTTCTTTCTTTCTCCTCGCGTTCCCGCTAAAAAGTCCTCACTCTAAAGTAAAAATAATTACCCATAGACAACATCATGTCGTCATAGATTATGTACCTACCTAAGAAATCTGAAATTTCTTCCTCACATCAAATATATAGAGGTCGGTAGTTACTACACTAACTTTTAATAGGTGTACTAATGTGAGTGAGATATAGGGAGAAGTTAAATGAATTATTCAATTTTGTTAATATGTATTTCTTCATGTTTAAGTGTGTAACAATTGTGAATTGTGATCCCGTTTACATCTGTCAAAGTTCAGAAACTGGTAAAATAAATAAAATCATTTTACCACTTCACCTCGAAATATCCATTGTAGTTTCCGTAAATTCCCACCTTAACCTTTTATTTCATAAAATTTCATCCCATTGCTTAGATTACGGCCCACCTGGTCTTAAATGATTACCGCAGCCCATAGATCTCATAATGTAAGTGCCGACACGCATCTTGAGACATGAGCTCTAAATATCTCAGTTGTATAAATAACGGCTGTTCCACCCTACAGACTGGGACAAATTACTGATTCGCGACAGAAATAAGCAGAGTGGTGATCTTACCCTCGTGGACTCCCATGATGTCTTACTACCAGTAATTACGCAAATTATACATATTTAACGGACTGGATTTCACAACGATGTTCCTTCGATTGTCGAAGGCGTTAGTGAGTGACCTAAATTTGATATACTTAACAAATTCCTGGAAAAATTGTTATCTGCTTGCAAGATTCGAATACCGGCACAGTCGCATCTAACGACTGGAGTATAGGGAACGTCTTAACGTGTAGGCCTCTTCGACTTCATAAGCCATGTAGATGATGTAAACATCCCCTAATTCATTTTAGTTTTTTTTTTGCTTAGATGAGTGGACGAGCTCATAGCCCACCTGGTGTTAAGTGGTTAAGTGGTTACTGGAGCCCATACACAACTACAACGTAAATGCGCCATCCACCTTGAGATATAAGATCTAAGGTCTCAAGTTTAGTTACAACGGCTGCCCCACCCTTCAAACCGAAACGCATTACTGCTTCACGGCAGAAATAGGCAGGGTGGTGGTACCCACCCGCGCGGACTCACAAGAGGTCCTACCACCAGTCAAAAACTCGGCCCCTGTCCCTCCCTCCTCCGCTCGAAGCGGAAGGCCTCACTGAGCTCGAGGAGTTGAGGCACCTATTATGATTTTACTGCGGATCACGCGTAGTTTTGTATATTTATCTACATAGCCAGAATATTGTATTACAAATCTTACATAAGTTATTTAATATTGAAATATATTATAAAAAAACTAATGTCAGCCAAAGGGAAGATCTTGCACCGAGCGAGTGTATTGCTCGGTAGATCCACGGTAAGTATCTTCGGAATTTGTATATACCTAGTATTATTATGTAAACTTATCTTAAAAATATCGTAAATGAGATTAAGATAATTAACTTTTTCTTTTATCATGACTACCGTGTCAGGCTTAAATTAGAATACCTTTTTTTTATTTATTTTTTGGTCCGGCGGAAATCCCCGGACTTCCCCCTTTCACTGGGGATGGCGGGCAGGGTATGTCAGAGTCGAACTGACTAAAACCTCCTGTCGCTCAACAACCAACGTCCAAACCTCGCATGAGACAGAACTCATGAAAAGGCAAAGGTTAAATTATAATACCTAGTAAATACTTATGAAGTAGCAGATAGTCTAGAGTCTAGACTGTCAGTTTCGATTTTGGAGATGAATAATCATGTACATAAAACGACCTAAACTGTAAAAACCCAATAAACACTCCATTTTTCACTTTTTAACTCCTGCTACGAGCAATTCAGGAATTTCCAATATAACAATCATTAAAACTTCGAAAGTAATTCCAATAAATATTTGGGAATAACTTAAGGTGTGTAGCCTCGAAATCCACGGCCGAACTTTCAAGTCTGAAGTATGTATGTGAAGAGCTCGCGCGTGCCATGTGCATACATACCTACACCATTCATAAAAATCATTCATTATTTTTAGATTTCAAATTAATCAAAGCGATTTGTATCTAACATAATTATTGATATTCTACTATATTTAAATGATATAATAATATATTGTTACGCGTTGGGGTTCGGGATAAATAAAATTCCACCGAAGCATAAATTAAAACTTGACTACACATTTTACAACGCTCTTTACACCGCCAGAGACAGAAACAGATGGAGAAAAATCGTGCGAGAGAAAGTGATACAAAGGGGTGGTCACGGCCTTCAGCATTGAGGAGTGCGACCCAAGCAGGAGGAGGAGGAATGAAAGGCGTTAATAAATATCAGCTACAAAGATTTTAGATAGAATACGATGCACAGATAGATAGATGTTTATAGATATTGTATATGTAGATAGATAGATGTATATAATTTATTTGGGACTAAAAGTACTTGTTTTTCTGCCTAGATATGTTCCAAAGACGTCGATAATGTGCTCCTCGCCGAACGTGGAAGCCGATCTGACCCAAACTACCCAGGAATTAGCGGCATGGCTTAACGTTACCTTACCAACAATATTGACTCATTTGCGTCAAATCAATAAAATAAAAAAATATGAAAAATGGGCGCCTCATGATTTGACTGATCTGCAGAAAGAAACGCGTGTTGAAACTTGTGTTGCTTTGTTGAATCGATACAGAAATGAAGGAATATTGGATCGAATTGTGACATGTGATCAAAAGTGGATTCTTTACGATAGCCGTAAGCGAAAAATGCAATGGCTGACCCCAGGTTAAACGCCGCAGCAGTTTCTAAAGCAAAGCTTATCAATAAAAAGGTATTGGTAAACGTTAGGTAGTCTCGGCATGGTGTTATTCACTATAGCTTTCTCTGATCTGGTCCAGCAATAACGGCAGATGTCTACTGCGCCGAACTCCGAATATTTATAGCAAAACTTGCAGTGAAACAGCCCCGACTCATGAATTGATCTTCACCATTATTGCTCCACGATAACGCGAGATCTCATACAGTACGAGAAACCGTTTTAACTCGACAGGAACTGCAATTAGAAACCATTCGTCACCCTCCGTATTGCCAGACCTTGCTCCAGCGGACTACCATTTTTTTGTGATTTCGACAATTTTCTACGTGATAAAAAGTTTTCTTCCCAGGGGGCAGTACAAAATGCTTTCACACAGTTTTAAAGAATCTAGATCACCATATTAGATGGTAGCAATGTATAGATAATAATGGTAAATATTTTGATTAAAGAAATATGTTAAAAGGAAAAAAAAAACCAATTTCAATTTTTCACTACAAATCGGCAATTTTATACTTTAACCTTTAACATTATACGTCCAAGAAAGCTTTTTTCCCTTTTACGTAAATTTAAAAATCACGACTGCGAGCCCTGAATGTCAAACACGCACAAAGTAAAAGTGCCGTTGAAAGGATTAATATCGTTTATACAATACTATTATATTTAGATCCCTGTTTCCCAACATAGGGTCCACGCCCCACAAGGGGGCAATTTGATAATTAAGGGGGACAATCGCACAAAAATAATTTATAAAACCTGTATTAAAATTATTTTGAATTTCAATTTCAATTTTTTATTATATGTTTTGAAATATTACTTACTGTGTTTTGATAACAATGTCATAGAGATGTCTTCCTAAAACCATTTTTTTATATTTCCTAGGAGTACAGATCAATTTTTTAATGTTAAAAATTATGCATGGGGTATGCTCCCATACATAATTTTAGAAATGTTACAGTGGGGCATGGCACAGAAAAGGTTGGGAAACACTGATTTAAATGTTTTCGGCATGAGACTCATTTAAAAAGCGGACGAAAGGAGTAGCCCCATAAAACTGTGTTGCCAAAAAATAGGTAATAATATAATGAAGTCTTCTCAAAAAGCTAAAATGAAAATATATTTTTATAATAATCTATTTCAGCTCCCGGTAAGACAATTTGATACGGTAAACACTTAGTATCTGGAGAGCCGTGAGTGCGTCTGCCATTGTGCAGTAATTGGTTTAAATAGACCTCTGACTGGACGGCCTATAATTCTATGTAATTGGAGAAAGTGTGGGTAGTAGTGTGGTAGAAAGTTCTCGATATAAGAACGGGATAACAGCTGCTCCAGTAATGAAGGTAGCCCCCGGCGGTCGGCCACCGGCCACTCAACGACTGCGCTGCCGCTTGCAAGCTGCAGCGAACCTGAATCTTGTGAATCATTTTGAAACAACAGAGACCGCATATTAAATACTAGCTTTTGCCCGCGACTCCGTCCGCGTGGAATAGTTACTTTGGCATAACGCTAAATTTTACCCCCCACTTCATTTACGTAGAAAGTGAAAATATTTTTGAATTATAGAATGTTAAGGAGCTATTTGAACCGTTATTTTGAAACATTCTTTATTGGTGCTCCACTTGTATTAGCCTTATCGTGATGTTATATAGCTTATAGCCTTCCTCAATAAATGGGTTATCTAACAATGAAATAATTTTTCAAATCGGACCAGTAATTCC